ATTTTAATAATACAAGTTATATTACATACAATGCGTATGATTATAAATATCAGTTGAGCGTTTATCAAAGATTGTGCTTGCACGAATTAATTAGTACTTATTTCTCATGTCAACTGGAGTACAGATCATATCCAAGATTAGTAAAAATGAAAATGATAATACAAATCAGTATCATGATAAGGCCTACAAAAAAAGAAAGAAAAAAAAGACGTTGCATTGCCCTTTGTGACCGACCCAAAAACTTGAAATCTACGGTTGGATTTTTTTTTTTTTAAAGGTTTAAAAAAAAGGAAGTGTTTAATGAATAACAAAATATGTATTAAAGCATTCAAAACTGAGAAATATCAGCCCAAAGAGGGACGGAGAAAAAAAAAAGAGAAAAAAAAAAAAGATTTCTGAGCGACCAACCCATGTTTTGGCACCAAAAGGGCAATACAACATCTTTCTTTTTAGGCCTAATGGGATGAGTCACCCTGAGAATGTTTCCTCTGTTTATTTTATTTCTTCAACATGAGGAAGATGACTCATTTAGAATCACTTTAACAATATACTTCAATTTGTTGAATGAGCTCGACTTCTGACAATACTGATTCAAAATATACCAGACATACATTCAAGAATGAAGTATAGTAAAGTGGTTTACGCAATATATAATATAATATAATAGCTACATATATAAGGCAAAAGTGATTTATATGTTTATACTTTCGTAACAAGATGAATCTAGAGTAAGCAAAACAAAATAGAGAATTTCCATGCATAAGACATTGCAGTAACCAATATTGTTAAAGTCAAGGGTGGTTGGAAGATGTTTAAAATAAACAAAAACTTCCTCTTATTCATAATGAGAATTTACTTTGTCCTGAAAGAGAATTGAGGATGCATGTAAACAATAGTAAAATACCCAAAGCTACAACCAAAATAGTTGAATTATACCTAAAAGCTGCAAGTGTTATGTTTAAATTCTTGTAAAGAAATACTGCAAAGTTTTATTATACACAAAATTGTCACTGTTCAATATGATCAATAGGAAATTACATCTGAATTTGTGGTATGTTTGTTTGATATTTGCAAGCTGACCTTGCATCATAACTCCATAATAGTACCTTTAAACTGGTATGGTTACAACTTACCACACTGTCCACACAAGATTGTCAATTTTATAATAAAATATCTTGAATATATTCATCAAAAGAAAATGAAAAAAATATGACCTAAAAGAATCTTATTTACAGTAACATCCAAGCATAACAAACTAACAAACATTTCTCTCGATATATTTTGAGACATGATCATGCTGGCTACCTTCCTATTAAAATAACCATAATTCAAAACAAAAAGAGGATAACAAATATCAAGATACTTTTTTATGTTAAACAATGAAGGCATAATGGAATGCAAAGTTTACAAAAGAAATACGGCAATAGCATGATAGACAACTTGAAATAGAAGTTTAGCATGCAAAATATGAAATGGGTATGATTCACATTTCATTAACATTGAAAAATTCAAATTCGCTTATTTCAATGAAGAATATATATTTATTTAAGATTACATAACAATATAAATCCTGGGTACTTTTATCTTCCTCCATACGCATTTTCAACTTCTTCTCTCTCTCTCTCTCTCTCTCTGTCACTCTCTCTCTCTGTCTCTGTCTCTCTCTCTCTCTCTTTCTCTCATACACATCTATAACACCTTATAACATGAAATAACTTTCAATCACATCATCACATGTTCCCTAGATGAATGGAAGTTGTAATGCAATAGGCAGTCACATACAGGCCTGTACATCAAATGTTAACCATGGCTTGGCTGTTGATCAAAGGTTATTGACAACGAGAATGAAGTCACAAAAGAAATCTATAACATGCTACATCTGTTAAGAGGCAGAAGGGTGTTGTTACCCTAGTCACTTTTCAAATGCAAAAAAAAATATTAAATTTTCTCTGTATTTGTATGGTATTTCCTATAAAATATATTATTTTTTGTACTTTTACTTCCTTTTGGAAAAAAACAACACACTATAGTTTTAGACTAAGGATTTGGAACAAAACAGTAGATGAAAAACATATCTAGATGAACAAAAGTAGTAAAATATAATATGACTGTTTTTCACTATTTTAGGACTACTTTTGAGACTATTTTATTTTGACTAGGCCTAGGGTAACTCTGTGTTCACTGATACATCCTTCTAAAGCTAAAAAATCATGTATAATCAGTCATCATATATCTCTGGTCTGGAGGCATTAGGGTTTTAACTCTAAAAGATACAAGTTAATGCCCTTCTGGCTCTCCAGATAATATGTAACCCTCACCTGTCCATAAAAGGCAATTGAACAAAACTATAACACCATTAATAAAAGTGCAGACATCTCAGAGCCAGTAATATAATATAAAATTTGTTACATAATATGTGATACCAGTTCTTTTTGTTGCTCTTAGTATTTCCACCTGCATGTACAATCAAACCTGCTTTAGCGACCACCTCTCTACAAAGACCACAAATTTTTGTTTCCCTTGAATATGGTTTCTCATTGAAACATGTACTAAAGGAACCTGTCTACAAAGACCATCTGTCTACAAAGACCACAATTTTTTTGTTTCCCTTGAATATGGTTTCTCATTGAAGCACGTACTAAAGGAACCTGTACATAAAGACCACCTCTCTGTGAAGACTACTTTTATTGTCTCCCTTGGGTTGTCTTTACATAGACAGGCATCATTATAATAGGTGTGACAATTTTTATACGAAAAGAGACAAACTTGTATACGAGTGAGATCAATTGATGAAGAATTCAAATACAGAACAGTAGCTTATGGCAGGTAATTCTATCACTCTTAATAAAGTTGCATGACTTGCATCTTAAGCATCTATGAAACCCTCTCAAATGACTATTTTGGATGTTTTCATACACTCGGCCATGCCAAATTACCATGGTTAAATATGTATCATAGCATTTTCCAGATTCTACGCCTGTGAATTTCAATACAAAATGATGTTTTTAGTCTTCTCATGATTTAAGGATGGTACTTTCGAAGAATTTTTTTCCACAAAAAGTAAAGCCTGCTCTATATTTATTGCACAGTCACTTTCTAAGTTCCTAACCCACAAAATTAGGAACCAAACTAATATATCAATTTTATTTCTGAATACCTGTGCCTAAATAAGCAAATGTATAATGGCAAAGGTAGTTGTCTGTTAATTATATATGCATGATTTATTGAATAAAGAACAGATGTTTAAGTTGTGTGTTTATTATAAGTTTTGGTAAATAATTGTTTAGTCAGAATATGGTGCGCTTAGAGACACCAGTATTAAGCGCCTTATAAATATTGTGTATTATTATTATTATTAATTTCACATACCGGTACTTGTATATTTTGTTGTGTGTGGTATTGTGATTTATATCATGTTTATTTTATCACTGTTAAAATAGGTAGTGATAAGCAGTATGGCTCCAAATGAAATGATAAGGGATAGTACTACTCATGTATTATGTACATTTCAGTCAAAAAGGTAAATTACATGTACATTGTTGCTTGAATACAACCTATGGATAAGAGCGCAGGGATTATGGAATGAATTAGACACTGTTCACGGTTTGATTCATTGGTAGTGTCACACAGGAAAGGAATTAAGAAGGGGATTTTATCTTGAAGGCTGTTGAAACTATCCTATGGCAATGCTCAAAAGCATTAAAAGGACAAAGGTGGTGCATACTTAACAACTAGAATTACATGTATGACTGACCAATTCAATTTATTAATATCACTACAGGTATTCTTTTGTTAAACTTTGCTTTATAAGAGATGATTCACTGCTTCCGAACATAACCACATTTTCTCCTTCATTTATAACAAACACTGGACAAGCTACATGTAAATGTAGGCTACATCATACTAAAGCTTATTTTTACTGAGGGGTAAAAAGCAGGAAATTGAGATTCAGCAAAAAAATGTATTAGGACCAAAACTTTGTAAAATATAATTTGGATCAGACACTTAAAAAAAAAAAAACCTTAACATTAATTCTGCATCTATGCAAGATTATTTTCCACATATTTTGCACTATCCTACTGTGAATTCCTTCTATATTTTGATTGAATTGCAAAAAAGTATAAGTAAAAGAGTGTGATAATGTACTTGTTGGTTTGATCTTTATCGAGTTCAGCAATATCAAAGTTATTTATTCTCTTATCTATTGTAGAGCAAAGGCAAATATACCTCTTCAAGGTTAAGGCCGTCATTTTAATTTGCGAGTAAACATTGCATCATCAGCATTTTCAGACGCCCATGTATTGTTGCGTCACTGACTGTGCTGCGCACTCACATCATATCGATACATGTGCGTTGCATGCTGCATAAAATAACTGTTACTCGCAATATTTACTTGCAATTCAAAATGGCGTTACTCGCAATTCAAAATGGCGCCCATGTCGGCGCATGCGCACTCTTGTAACTGTCAAAGAGTGTATATATAAATGTTTAAACAAAAATCGTAAAGCAATTTAAAAGGTTATTCTCATTTAAACTAGAAATTGAAACTGAAATATGCACCAGTGATAACATAAGTGATATTTATATCTTAAATTAGTACCAGTAGATATCATCAAAGCTTACAATAATACATTTAGCGTTTGAAAAATAACTAGGAGCTTTTTCATACATAATCACTGCGAAGTGCAAAGGTTGAAGTGCAATAACAAATTATGAAATTAAGATAATCTCAGCACCTTATAATTAAAATTCACAGTAAATTCGATTCATGGATTTAAAAAAAGGTTATCAAAAAAGCTCAAAGTGGGGTATTTTTGCAAGGTCAAGTTCATTCATCATAAAGTAAGCTTGCTATTTGGTGGGTTATCCTGTAGGATCCTCAAAAAATGTAAAATAACTTGAATGAGTAGTGATTATAGAGCGTGAAAGGAGTAAAATATTGATTCAAGTCACTGAAGTTCTCTTGAGATGACTAAATGCTTTTCGTGGTAATTAATTAATTTTGCATTTAATGAAAAATTCATTTCATGAATATATAAACCTGAGTATAGGGCCCCTCCCCCATCGAGGAGGAAACCTTGATTGTAGATCATTTGATAAAATTTTAGATTAAAAAAAGAAGAAAATCATGTATGACATATAGACTTCGATCAAAGACGCTTTATTAGGTTATCATAAAGCTGCGCTGAGATTTAGAGTTTGAAGATCACATCTATTGAGGAAAACCCAGAGGTTTCCTCCGGAGTACCTGATTGACAGGTGGGCGTGGCCGCATCATCCAAAGGTGGCACCGCAATTGGGGCATCGTCTCTGTCTCATCGCCAGGCAACAGAGGATGCCAAGAGGAAAGAAGACAATGGCACAGCAGAGGCCGAGGAGTGTGAAGTCGTCCTCCAGGGTTCCAACGCGACAGGCGGGGCAGCCCCCTACCACCACCACCTGCGTTGTGTACGTCGTCTGCCGAGCTACCATAGGTTGTTGCTGGGGCGGGTAGTACTGGGTGCCACTGGGTGGTGGAGGAACCCCTTGAGGCTGGAAGCCAGGCTGCTGGGGGTAGCCGGGTGCGGGCTGCTGTCCTGGGTAGCTGGCTATGTTTATGCAAAGAGAAAAAAAATGAGCATAATTTATCAAGAAATGGCATTGATGGTTTTCCCCTTTAATACAGAGAAGAAAAAAGTGAACACGTTTGACTCCATTTGTGACCATGCACCATCCACCCGCATATAGGTCTCATAGAATGATTTTAGGTTAGAGCTCAATAAAGGTGTATTTGGTCAGCATGGTCAAATTTCATTTCATGTCCTGAAAATAAATTAAATTTGGAAGTTTAAATTGAACCAAACAGTCTAAATATTGTACTTTTTGCAGACTTGGTATCAAATGATGGACAATCTTCAAGGGGGGGGGGGGGGCATGTACATGTATGTTGTAAGGCTTTTATAAAACAGGTCAAACAAGATCATCTGTGGTTTTGACTGACAAATGAATTACCACATGCAGCAGTGGGTTTCTCGTGATCAGGGATCATCTAACAGGATCTTCTAATTATGTGGGTGTATTGATCTGGGAAAGTGCTTAACATTTAAATGACAATCACATGACAGTTTGTCAGAACCTGATTCATCCAGGTCATCAAACTAACAGGTACTACATGTAGATCAATGATATTTATTATCATAATTTTGATTAATGAAATCCTTTTCAGTGATTGATCAACAAAGCATCATTTGACCAAACATAACATTGCTATGATGTTATCGATAAGAAAAATGTGCTATACCATGACGTCAGCCATGGTATAGTGGCACTATACCATGGATGACGATGATGATCGATCAAGATCAATGTGATATTGTTGTCAGCTAGGTCGCGGTATACGTACGGTCGTCTGCGCTGCTCTCAATGCTCTCTACACTTCTTCAGTGACAGTATAATATCATTATTATTATTTGTATGAAGGTTGGTTTGAAAAATATAAAAACAAATATATCATGCACTATTTCAAGCCACTAGTGAAATTATGGATTCCTCGGCAACAGAAATAGCACCTTTTTTTTTTGGGGGGGGGGGGCTATGCCCCTTGAAAAATAGTGCTAGTCCCGCCAACTTGGTCCATTATTTCAGCTAGAGCCTCTCAGTGCATGGTATATTTGTTTATTATCATTTCTTTATTGCAACAAAAATTTGAAATTGGATTTCAAATAAAAGTAAAAATACATAGTCATACAGATAGATAACAATGGTAGAAATATGTACACAAAGTCAAAGAAACTGTGTAGTCTAATACTTACCTGTCCGAATATTACGTGAATTTGCTTATGAGTTATCTTTTCCATTATGTTATATTCTTAATTTTGCATTTAAGCAAGGGGTGTTTCCACAAGTATGGAAGTATGCTGAGATAGTACCAGTACCCAAATCATATCCACCAACTCTACTTGAATTACGGCCCATAGCCCTAACTTCTTACTTTGCTAAAATAGCTGAAACTTTCATTACTAAGTGGTTGTGTGAGGATATTGGTGATATTATTGATAAAAACCAGTATGGAAATCGTCGTGGTCTTTCTACTTGCCATTATTTAATTGCAATGTTACATAATTTATACAAAAATGCAGATAAACAAAAAACAATTTCAACAATAGTTTTAACCGATTTTTCTAAAGCGTTTGACCGGATTGATCATAATATTTTAATTTGTAAACTTGTTAAATTGTATGTACGACCATGTGTCATTTCATTAATAGTAGATTTTTTAGAATGCCGCCAACAAGTAGTAAGGTATAAAGGTCGTATTTCAAATGTAAAAAATAACAATGTAGGAGTCCCTCAAGGTACAAAATTGGGGCCTATATTATTTTTAATTATGGTTAACGATGCGTGTCATGATTGTTTACTCCCTTTTTATAAGTATGTGGATGATTTAACTATAGTAGAAAGCCGGACTTGGACACAAATATCAAAATTGCAATCGGAATTATTGTTATTAGAAAATTGGTCTTTACTCAATAATATGAAACTTAACCCAACTAAATGCATTGCTATGACAGTCTCTTTTATGAAAAATCAAACTCACCAACTGTTGTATATTGATGAGACACTTTTAAATGAAGAAAATGTAATCAAAGTTCTTGGAGTTTATATTCAATGTGATTTAAAATGGAATACTCAAGTAAAGGAAATGTTAAAGAAGTGCAATAGAAAGTTATATATGTTACGTACCTTGAAACGTTTTAATTTACCTATTATTGATCTCGTTATTGTTTATACCGGATACATAAGACCAATTTTAGAGTATTGTGCACCACTTTTTTATTCCAACCTAACACGTATACAAACAGATAATATTGAACGAATACAAAAACGGGCATGTAGAATTATTTTGGGACTTAATTATGAAACATATAATCATGCTCTAGAACTGTGCAATTTGTTAACGTTGGAAGAACGTAGGAATAAACTTTGTTTTGATTTCGCCATTAAATTAGAAAAGCATGATTTGTGTTCGTTATGGCTACCAAGTCAAAGAATTGTTAAATTTAATTTACGAAATGTACAGAAATATTCTCAATTTATTTGTAAAACTAGTCGCTTTAATAACAGCTATATTCCCTATTTTGTTCGTATCTTAAACGATTATTATTCAAAAAAGTAAGCTTCATATATTTTTGTATATGTTTATGTTTAATGATGTTGCCTATTACGTGTATAAATGTGTCCAGTATTTTTATCCTTTTATATGTCATTAATTTTATTTTATGTCAACATGTATAATGCTCAGTGTATTTTAAATATCATGATGTTTTTAACTTGTACAAATGATCTGCAATTCAGCTTCGGCTGCCAGAACATCATACGAATAAACCCTTATTGAATTGAATTGAAATGAATAACAATGTCCTATGATCATATTATTACACATTAACAAATAAATTAATGTAAGTTCATATTCTAAATCTTTACCACCATACATCAAAGGTGAGTAACGTGTCATGGTACTACTACCACAAGAAAGATTAGTCATTGTCACATATTACAAGAGATGTTGCATTCATGGATGAAAAAAATGGATTTATGATGTCATACATTTATGTTGTATGGGACAAATTAACACATTCATTCACCCTTTAATGGAAATTTTTAAGATAAATGAACCTCAAAACATGATATACCTACAGTATCATAAAAATATGCTGTGTACACTGTATTATCAAGCAATCATACTTTCATGCACATTCAGATGTGAACAAATATCTTTACTTTTTTCCTGGTTATCCCCATTTCCTAGAAACACAATGCTGCTATCTGTATTCACCCCCCAAAACTTGAAAAGTACAATCCTTCAATCGAAATCATTATCATAGACCTATTCTTCCGTGTTCCTGTTTTATGTAGTTCCATAATAACTTCTTTTTATAGAACCACAATAAATTTTTCAATTTTTTCATCTTCAAAAACTAGGATTTGAGAAACCAATGTCTGTATGAGCAAGGGGGACTAAAAGAAATAATTACACTAAGGACAACTTGATCAATACAATGTTCGAAAATTAATATGAATGTTAGAATATTAGTTACATTTGCCTGTGTAAACAAACCAGTAATTAAATTTGAGAGAGAAATAAAAAGGCAACCAATTAGTATTACCGGTACACCTACATTTTTAATATGACTTAATATCATCAAAGGCAAGAATGTCTGCATTCTGCAGCACCCTACATGTAAATGTAGTAGTTGGGTATAGTATGACAAGAAAGATTTAGAGACTTACGATGTTGAGTGATTGATCCATACGACGGAGGACCTTCTTCCTTCAGTTGAGTGTATGGAGGGGGTTTACTCGTTGTTCCTGCGTACAGCGGTGGTGCTGAACCTGATGCCATCTTTGGTTTTATGGAGAAGGTCTAAACTAGGATCAAAAAGAAGAAAATTAAGTATGTTTTTAAGTACTAAAGTTAGGCCTATGGATTGGCGCTGAATGGCTATTTCTTGTGATAGATGATTGTAAACCTGATTGTTAAACGACAGATAAGCTTTTTTTCTAAAATATTGAAAGCCCCCCCCCCCCCAAAAAAAAGGTGTGATATAGGTCTATGTTTAAAATAATTGTTGGGAGTCATGTATCACCTAATGCACAATATAAGTACGCGTACACAAACGCGTGCCCACCCACACCGCAGGTTTCATAATGACATAGATCTAGATCTAAATGCGAAACATGATTTACACAATTTCAATTAAGCCTAGCTACATTTCATTTAATTGCAACTTCAACATTTTACACTTTTCGCTTTTCAAAGATTTTACTAAATGCTGGGCAGCTGGTGGTCATTAAGATTGGTAGTAGTACTCTGGATAAATGGCTGTAGAGTGTCATCAATGCCAATGCCAGTACGTGCCGTGATGCAAACAGTCGCGAGACAGTCAGCGTACGGTACATACCGGCATAATAAACAGGTACAAATATACCGGTATTACAGGTACAAATATTACGTAGACTACACGATTAACAAGTGCATTCCCATAACATAAGATCCCTCTTCCAGACGAAAATTTGAATTTGACAGACTAGCAAAGCCGGCAGTAAACCTGTAAACTATAGAACATAACTTGTACTTACAGAAGATCCCAAATGGTAAATCAATTAGCCAAGAAATGGAGAAGAAATTATTACATAACACTTTTCAAATAGAGAATTCAGCTTGTGTCACGAGATGTTTATCCATCACTCTTTGACATAATGACGTCATGATTGAGTATGGAACGCGAAGAGGATAGGGAATTCCCCAACCACAAGGAGCGCATACAGCTCGAATAAAACCGGCATTTCTTTAAAACTTCGAGACATGTGACGAAACACTTCTCCTTATGATATACGTCGGTTCTAAGAAAATTTTGAAATTTATATGCCGTATTGGGTAACGTAGCTACAGCATTGAAGACAAAAAAGAGATTTAAAGTTGTTCTTTGCCATTTTTTTCCTAGTACGTCCGATTGGCACAAATACAGGCATTGATCAGCGAGTCTATAACCAGGCTGGCTGTCATAATTACATGTAGGTAGTTTTTGATTCCCCCTTTACCAAAATGGGGAATGTGCTAAGAAATCGAAACATGACCACTAATATCCGGTACTGTAGTGTTATGTATGGTCCGTCCTTCTGTACGGCTGCGAAAGTGGACAATTTTGGACATTCAATAAATCATTTAACAGCAAAATTCAAGCAGTAGAAATGTGGTTCTTAATAGAAGAATGCTTAGGAAACCAATTGGACTGACAGTCAGACACTAACAGGATATCAAACGAAGAAGTGCTAAATAAGGCATGTGTCGATAGATCCCTTCTTAACATCATACAGAAAAGACAACTACAGTTTGTTGGGTATATCATGAGAAGAGAAGGCACAGAAAACAGAATACTAACTGCATGGAAACAGAAGCAAGATTACATTACAAAGAACCAAAGATAAAAATGGATGGAAAGACTTATATCGCCAATGTCTGAAACAGACCATGCACATTATAGCAGGCAAGCAAGCATTCTCATTTTCTCCTTTAGTGAATGTAAATATGTGATAGCATTTTCAATCCATTTTTTAAAACAGAAAATTATATCAGGGAGCAGCATACAGTTTTTACACTAAAACGAGATAGGGTAGTACAGGAGTAATATGACGAAACGTTTCAAATCTTTAATGCAAAAATCTTGAAAGTTTATTAAACGTGGAAAGATGTCTTTCCATTTTTGGAGGAAAAGGCATAATACAGCAGCTAATTTTTCCAATGAAAAGATATATAGTCGGCATTTAGACTGAAAGCGCAAATCTCTTTGTACTTAAAGCGGCCGCAGACGCAGTTCAATCGTTATTTTCACCTCTTTCGAATTTTATATTTCTCTATTTCTCTCCATGTTCCTCCTTTTTCCACGCCTTGGTAACAATTAAGTGGCCCATGCACTGGATTGAGATTTTCCTTAGGAGACAGTCCAGACACCCCGATTTTCACCCGTTTATAAAAAAAATTAATAATTGGCAATTTTTTTGAAAAGTATTTATCAAAAATTAATTTCTTGCATATGTTGTTCAGTTTCTTTTACTTTAGAAATTCAAACGCACAGTAATATCTTCCGACAGTGCATGTGCAAAATTAAGGTGAGTAAGATTATTCCCAGTTTAGACTCTGGATTTTTCGAAGATGAGAAGATGGTTCTATGGCGCCGGTAAGGGGGGGGGGGGGTCCGATCAAAAAGTGTATGTGTGTGTGTGTGGGGGGGGGGGTGCGAAACGCATTTTTCGCCGCCCCCGAAAAAAATCAGCAGTAAAGAAGTAAAAATGCTTTGTATTTTTTAACCAAAAAGAAAATAAGAATAATAAAACACATACAAATTATATTCCATTAAAAGAAAAGGAGAGTAAACAGGAATTAAATTTTCTAAACATTCCGCATTTTGTTATTATAGGGGTGAGAAGACATGAGCCCCTTAACACTGGTCTACTGATGGGGGGGGGGGGGATTCGCCCCAAAATAAATTCAAACGTGGTTTATTTCTAATTCGATACCAGTGTTTTACAAATGTTGCTGAAATGACATGATTTTCCGAGATTTTTCTCAATTTCTTTTGTAAAATATTCTATTTTATCCGTTTGTTAGAAAATTACAAATTCCCAAAATTAACAGTCAGGTAAAAAAATGTATGTCAGGGCCCGCAGAACGGCGGGGTCCGGGGCCCCCGTCACTTTTTTGAAAAAGTATGTTAAAGAGAAAAAAAGAGAGAAATATAGAGAGAAATGCTGTATCAAATATGCTCATCTGACCGTTATGAATTGCCTTATCCCCTGAGCTTGCGGGGGCTCCGCACCCTGGACCCCTACGCTCATCTGACCTACCTAAACCCCTCGGTTTCCATGGGCTCTGCCCCCTGGACCCCACCAAGCCGGCCCTAAGGAGGGTCCCTGGAAGCTCATCTGACCTTAATTTAATACCTAAAACCCCTGAGCTTCTGGGGGTTCTACCCCCTGAACCCACCAAAGACCCTAACGTTGGCCCCTGGATGCTCATCTGACCATAATGCATACACCTATCAATTTCACTATTAAAAACAAAAATATAAAATACAAAACAGGAGGCGAGCTTAATTGAGGGAGGAGTCAGAGAGCCTCTATAATATAAGAAAAGTTATAAACATACATCAGCACATATGACCTCTTTCAGCATCATAAAATTCATCTTATTTTGATATAAGAATTTCTCAATCCCGTTGGCTTTTGCCGTGAACATAATCAATGTAATAACAAACAAAATTATATAATATGTAAAATATTTTGAAACGAATTAAATCAATTGTTAGCAGGGTGGACGGTGATAAGGGTGGGGTCGTGTTCGTTTACATTATAGGGATAAGAGGGTATATTAAATTTTGAATAGATTTTAATGATTTTTGTTTTTGTTTAAGTTTAATTTAGTTTAGTACATGTTCAGTGTATTTTAATTAAGCCGTACTATTTTTTTAAAATAATCATTACTTATTACATTATCATTATGTATATATTGGACTCCATGGAAAAACAAAGCCTCTGAAATTGGCTATCCGACCGTTTTATCATTCTGTTATATATAAGTCTTCGATTTTTTATATTGTGTTATTGTTTTTATGATGACTTTCGGAAATAAAACAAACGAACAAATCTTCAGTAGATAATTCATGGCATTGGTGTTATTATTATAATTTAATGATATATTTTTTTTGCATAGCTACAAAAGTATCCTTTCTGGTCATAACACTTTGAATGTTACCCCCCCCCTCCCCCCCCCCCCCCCCCCCCCCCCTCCCCTCCACTCCCCTCCCCGCGCGCACAAGCGGTTCTTTCTTTGGGGGGTTTTGCATTCATTTTCTACATGGTACCTAGCTTGAAGATTATTATCATTTTTTTTTGGGGGGGGGGAGTTGAGATCTCAACCCCCCCCCCCCTCATCCTCAAGTACGCTACATTTCGTCGTCACCGCCTATTTCTCTTGTATGCTACTGCATTTACCGAAGCTCAGAACAGTTGACAGAGGCATTATATTATGCACTAATTGCTTTGTCACAAGCCGCTTGCCATACAAGAAAGGAAGCGAACGTATTGAGATCATTGACTTTGTGCATGGGAATGAATGGGACACCTGGAAGTCAATTAGCGCACACAGGATTAGTTGACTGCACTGCGTTGAGCTGCGTGAAGAGAACATACAGGTGAGTACCAATATTATTCTTCAAAAGAAATAGTTTAGAATCTTTTCTTTCAGTCCACTACATTCAAGCAATCTAGATAGTAAATGTCACATTAATATACGAATGGCAAGAATGATTAACAATGGCCATGTTCAGACGGGGCTTCCTAACTTAGTCGACGTAAGTTTTTCCCTGCAGCAATAAATAAATATTTGACTTAGCTAAGCCTACACCATTATTGTCCATATGCTGCTCTTACCCGGCCCAAAACAACTTTCCACATGAAGTTAACACGACCTTCCACCGACCCAGTCTTACTTAGCCTTAAGGGCTCTCTCGAAATGTTTTTTTAATGATATTATTCGAGAGAGCCTTAAACGGCTCCCATACCCCTGCACGGAGAGGCATGTAAACAAAACTCAAAAGTGGTCCAAAATCACACTTTCGCGCACCCGACCAATATTGGACAGTGGCTTTGATAAATTTTGTCGTAGTTTTGGTCTTAATTACCGCTTTAATTTCAAAATCGGATCTAAAAATAACAAAATAAGAGCAATTTCTTACCAGACCGATACAGCTCAGCTCCCTTTTCACGTGTACCGTGTGAATTCACGATGTCTACACAATGGTGATGACCTCTGACTAGCACTTCGTAAATGTGCTGCTTCCGTATAATGCGCTGAATAACACTCATACAGCGCATTATACGGAAGCAGCACAATTTACCCACAATTACGGAAGTGCCAGTCAGAGGTCATCACCATTGTGTAGACATCGTGAATTCACACGGTACACGTGAAAAGGGAGCTGAGCTGTATCGGTCTGGTAAGAAAATTGCTCTTATTTTGTTATTTTTAGATCCGATTTTGAAATTAAAGTGGTAATTAAGACCAAAACTACGACAAAATTTATCAAAGCCACTGTCCAATATTGGTCGGGTGCGCGAAAGTGTGATTTTGGACCACTTTTGAGTTTTGTTTACATGCCTCTCCGTGCAGGGGTATGGGAGCCGTTTAAGGCTCTCTCGAATAATATCATTAAAAAAACATTTCGAGAGAGCCCTTAAGGCTAGTCTTACTCAGTGTAACTTCCTGAAGTGGTGGCGCTGGCACTGGTCGACCTCAACCCAGCTTCCACATCTAAACCATGCGAAAACTACTTTTCATTTTCTATTGTAAACAAACAATTGTGAAAGGTCACAGATACTCTGAGTGCAAGTGAGAGCATCCACACGGTCAACTTACACTACCCTGACGTGTTAGCGCGTTTAATATTCCTGGAAAATAACAGTTGTAAATCAGTCCGCGTAAAGGTGGGCGAAGCTAACATGACTATCGTTCAGACAGTCGCTACGCCGACCTTACCATATTTACGCCGACTAGCTCTGGTTTAAACACGGCCAAAGTTGCCATCGTGTGAACACGGCTAACGGGTGCTGGGCTAGGTCTACCGGTAATTGAAGTTTTGTTTAGTCAAAAGCTTACTTTAAAATTTCTAGGTGACCAGTACCTGTCAATGAGCCTGAAATTGTTAAGTGATGAATTTTGAAAGATTTATTATGAACAGAAAGGACAGCCAGTACTAATATCAGTATGTGCCAATTGTTTAATGAACACAAGGACTGAACAAAAAAGACGATTCAGAGCTATTATCAATCAGAAGAGTTTTTCTATATGATTAGATTTCATATTGTCCGTTACTTTTAGTGTTACAGACATTTTGTGTTCGGATAGTTTGAAGGAGTTTACAAGCAGTATTTCATAAATTTTCCAAGACTTGTGTAACTATAAGACAATATTGTATTATGGCAAGTGTTTATTTGATGCGTACACTTCGTTTGTTAACTACACCCAATACCCCATCATACTGTTTTTTGCTGGTTCATATCTCGCATTTGTAAATTGCAGTTCCTAGTTAAGTTTGGATAGGTAACAGTTATGCATTGCTTATAAGTTAGATTAATTAATTTAACGTTGGATATGAATGTTTTTAAAACCCTTATTCTTTAGACTACTAATTTTTATATTTTCTGAATCAGTGAAGCAACATACATAATACCACATTGCTTTTTTTTAATGATCTATTCTCTTTTGTTTTTCCTTTTGTTTTCCTTTTCCTTTTTCTTATTTTAAATTATTTTTTCTTTGTTTTACTTTATAGCTGTTGAGAATGCCACACATGCAGAACGTCTTGTAGCCATGCTTCAAAAGAAGTCTAGGTGATCACGTCCAAGGTTATAGCATATAGAGACTACCATATACAGTACGTGTTATCTGATCTTCAACCACCACCATGCCGGCTACCTATCTGTGGGCCATCGGCAACCGTGGCCGGGCCTATGCCATGTCCACGAACAATCAGATCTGGGAACTTCGCAGCATGGAGTATAACGTCAAGCGAGTCCTGGGCTTTAAGAGGATTTCAGCAGCCAAGCACGTGGTCTGGGGCTTGGCCTACAACCAACAGCCCTATGTTTATGTGTTTGGTATGGATGTTCCCATTCGATTCCTTGAATACACTTATGAAAACCAGGTTGGTCACATTGTTTTTCTCTGTTAAATTTATTTTTGCAATGAGGCAAATAATACTTCCCCCTCTTTTTTTTTTTTTCGGGGGGGGGGGGGGGGGGGGCTTAGGGTGTGGAGGGATAGAAATATAAAAATATTAAAACATTAACTTAACTTTAAGAATCCAGTCTTGTGACATATATTTGCTTCACTATAAAACCATTACCTAAGCTTCTTTATCTTAATTGAAAGAAGCAGTATTGAAAAATATTATCATCTTATGTTATTTCATAATATCAAAACTATACACTGTATGCTAAATGTAGCAATAATATTATAGTGAGGAGAATATATATATTTAAATCCCACATCTAAAAAGACCCAGTACAAGGACTGGCCATGGATGGCTCATGTGACATTAAATACTTCTACCATGAATGAAAAATAGATATTGCATGACTTTTTACTTTTACAAAAAGCCGACCATTGATTTCAAGATTTTGGGGTTGGTCGCAAAGGGCAATACAACATCTTTTCTTTTTAGGCCGTAGGCCTATCGCGATATTGCCACTACAGCCACTGTGGTGTGGCATGGGCGGGGTAGTACTCTTGCAAGCATAGTGTGTGTATATTTTTCACAAAAATGTGAGTTAATGTGCATTTTCAGATTTAATTCTTTATGGTTTACTTTTTTAGTTTTTCATTTTTTGGTGAGGGATATAAACAAGTATACCAGGTCTTTACGAGGCACTGGTAAAAGTGCAGATCTTAGGTGCCTGGCATAGTGACTATTTTCTTCTAGGGTGCACCCCTCAAAAAAAAGGGTGCTCGACCAGTCACCTCAGAGAATCCATAATTTAAATGGGAGCTTGTCAGTGAATGGTATATTTGATTGATATAGATATATATATACATGTACAGTGTATTTCAAGTAATGCCTGGCTGGAATGCTCCCCAGGGAGTGGAGATTGTGCACACAATGTGTGCGGGCAAGCACTGAATCCAATGACTAGGGTAATAGTATATCTGCAAAGCGCATAGAGACGTTTAAGATGTATTAAGCGCTATTTAAAAGCTGAATATCATTATTAATATTCTTTCTAAAGGCAGCCTCAAAAGCACACTCAGGAGCACAAATATTTATTCCTTGTCATTTCTGATGTTCTGTCTCTTTTCTCTCTTAATTTATTCATACTGTGCATTGAATAAAAGTATTATAATATATTTTCTCAGAGATGGGGTCCAGTGAGAGGCTACTCCGATCGGAGTCTCATCTTCTCCGACCGTCCTCCTTGGAGTGACGAGAAGGGTACAAGGGTCTTCCCCCGCCCCCGTGATGTAAGACTTCCGAACAAGCACTGGAAGTGGGAGTCAGACTGGCATGTAGATGAGAATTACAAAGGTCAACCCACTGGAAAAGAGGTAACGAAGATGATGATGATGATGATGATGATGATGATGATGATGATGATGATGATGATGATGATGATGATGATGATGATGACGATGATGATAATAGCTAGTTCTTATAGTTTTTATAGTTCTTAGTTCTTATACATGTAGCTGATGATGATGGTGATGATGATGATGATGATGACGATGACGATGATGACGACGATGATGATGATGATGATGATGATGATGATGAAAATAATAATAATGAAAACAAGAAAGAAATAATTATAATAATTGTAATGATAATAATAATAGAGAAATAATAATAGTAATGGTAATGATAATAATGATACCAATAATAAAGAAAGAAATAATATTAATGATAATAATGATGATAATTATGATGTTGTTTATATAACACTCTTATACATGTACATATGAAATGGTTTGAAAGCACGTTACAAAGTTCTGATAAATTGGCTAACAACTAACGGAAGTTAATGATCATTGAATAGAAGAGTTTTGAGAGCCTTCTTTTAAAAACATTCAAGAAAGATGGTATTTGCAGATAAACTAAAGCTAAAGCTGAAAAAGTATATTGTATCTGAGGCAAAGTCATCAGCAGGTCATTTGTTCCATATTTCATATTTATTTAAGTAAGATGACAAACATAATTATTTGACAGTAAGTGCTCAAAAGTTATCTCTAATAAAATGAACAAACTAAAATTGTAATTTGCTTTTAAAGTATTGTGAGTTCAATCAGCCCTTATGAAAATATTACGTTTTAAGAACAATGCCTTATTTGGTTAATTACTTTGTTTTCCTTTTGCCTGTAGGGATGGCAGTATGCAGTCAACTTCAACACAAATGAGAATTACACGTCTGAAAAAAGATGGAACTCTTGCGTTCGGCGGAGAAAGTGGATTCGATATAGGAAATACATTGCTACTGATGCTTGGGCACAGGTAATATTTTTTAAGATCGTGTTTTTTGTGAATCTTCCGATGGTAGTATGTACAAATGCACTTATTTTTTCATTTAGTAATTATTATAGTCCTGTATTTTGTGTGTAAGGAAGTTCAGATTGGGTTTCCAATTAAATTCAGTTGTTTTAATCAAACTGATATTGGTAAATTGTTAGGATGTATTTATTTTGATGTGGTGGATATTTGCAAGCTAACTTGTATTACTATTGTTTTTACTGGCAAAGAAAATGTATATTGTACATGTGATGTTTTATTGTGTTTTTCGTAACTAAAGAATAAAAGGTGGAATGGTGGAGTTAGGGCCTCTGTTAAATACTGTTAGATGTAAACTTTAATACAGTATATCGCATTCTCAAGAAACATAAATCAGGACAAATTGATTAATCACATACTTAAAAAGTAACAAAACTTGGTAATAGTAGAAATGATTTGGTTGTTTACTGTACCCAAGTAGTAGGAAATTGACTAATGATGGATTTGAACACACACTAAAACACACAGGTACAGAGCATCAATGCAGACCCTCTAGAAGAGCCATTGATGGAGCTATCGGTAGGTGGACACGAACTGCCGGGTCAACACGAGGGCTATCTCTCAGTCTGGGCTATATCAGCTTTGGGAAAGGTGAGATATTTTGATGTTTGGGATTGTTTGTTACAGGATCGAGATAGCCTAGTTGCATCTATCATATTCCTGATATATCGTATTTCAAGAGCATATTGCTATGAGCTATCTCTCAGTCTGGGCTATATCAGCATTGGGAAAGGTGAGATGCTTTGATGTTTGGGATTGTTACTGAATTCAAGATAGCCTAGTTGCATCTATCATATTTCTAGAGCTTATTGATTTTGGTATTGCACGCATTTTTTCATAAACTCCAGCTTAAGGGTTTTTCAAGCTCAGTATTCAAATTGTTAAAGTTGAATTGAATTGAATTTGAAAGGTATTTATTTGGTATTTATTTTGTTCTGTTACTAAAGGATCTCTGACGTTTTATGTTTATGTACTGACAATTCTGTTGCCGTTTAACCCACTGAACACGTCCATGGAGTTGATACGCTGTTGCCCCTGCTTCTCTTTCCTTGTTTTCCAATCTTCTGTACCTTCTCTTCTTGCTTACCAACAAACCGGATAGGTATTTTGTTGTGATAGTTTAATAGAAGAGATCTATTGATATAATAATAATGATAATAATAATAATAGTTCGTCCTAATATACATGTAGCGCATTTCAGGACCGCAGGCCCTCTCAATGCGCTTTACAGATATATATTATTAACCCGGTCATCGGATTCATGCTTACCCGCACACAAGGCATGCACATTCTCCACTCCCTGGGGAGCATTCCAGCCAGTCGCCATTTTACAAGCGCCATTGCTAATCAAACCACATTAGCTTTCGCATCCTACCGGGTACCCATTTAACACCTGGGTGGAGAGTGGCAAATGTAGATCAATGTCTTGCCCTATCTTTTAATTGCTTGTTAGAATGTAGTGAAATATTTGTACTCATGATATATTCGATAGATTATGAAAGGTAAACAATCTGTATTACTAACATGTAGTTTTTAAGCTTCTACCAACCTTAAATTTGTTCTGCAAGCTTTCATCACTTAGCTTGAGAAAGTCCACAGGAGTGGATGAAAGCTTGCATAACAAATTTAAGGTTGGTAGAAGCTTAAAAACTACATGTACATGTTATCATTATCTCCAACTGATGAAAGTTTTCTGTATCATTTTTATTACTATTCTTTGTTTTACCATCTAGGTATTCTTCAGGGTCGGTGTGACGAGGAAGAACCCGGAGGGCACCCTGTGGAGGGAGGTCTTCACCTCTGAAGGCAAGGGTCTTGTTCAGCTGTCTGTAGGCCCTACAGGGGTCGTGTGGGGCGTGACATGGGACGGCCAGGGGGTCATACGGATAGGAGTGTCTCGGGATCATCCCCTAGGTAAGAGAACAGTTTCAGTTTCAATTTTTTTCATTTGATTTCATTACCAGGAACATAAAGGAGTTTAAAATAACAAAGAATACAAGAAAACAAATTATAAAAGTAAATACAGCAAAAAGCCATCAACTAATGCCTGAGGATGACCAAAAGAAACTGAGTTTCTGTAGGAGGCTCTCCTTCTTAGTTGATGGAATAATACATAAACATAAATATATATAATTACATAAGATATATTTAATTCAATACCAAAAAGATGCAAAGGACAAATCATGAGATCATTAATATAAATAATCATATGTTGTTCAGGTTGAAGAGTGAGCCGATTTAAAAGATAACAGAAGAAAAAACAAAAAATCCTGAAAAAACATTTTAAAGTAAATTTTATTTGCATTGTAATTCTTTATTGACACCTTTTCAAATAAGTTTTCAATGACAGTCTCTTGTTTAGTTTTTCAAACTTCCATATGAGTATAAGTGAGCATGTTAAAGATGAAGTTGAGTTCTGGTCATGCGATTGCATTGTGAAAGAAACGGTGTGGAATCGACCAGAAAAGGTTGATCATCAAGCATATAAGAATTTGTGTGTACTACAAGGTTCTGGAATCATCAAAATGATAAGAAATTTGGCCAAGTCTTGGTAAAGTTACAAACACTGTACACAGAAAGATGTATATGGGACTACACGAACACGTGGCGTAAAAATCCTACCCCCGAGTTTTACGATGTTATTGACATATTTGGAATATGAAGGCGTTTGAAGAGCCATGCTTTTCAGGGAACATGTCTTATCTGATTTTCTTCCACACTTGCATAATAAGAATGATAACGCTCACAAATTATTTTTCACCTCTTCCCAGAACTCAACCTTCTCTTTAAAAATGAAGTTGACCTAATGAAATAATAGCAGCATACATGTACTTTCCCATTATTGACTTGCATTAAGGGACTTTAACAAATCCAAATTTGTCCAAAATAATTTGTTTATTCTATACAATTTTTTTTCTCCCCTGAATGGTGAACTACATATCATACTAATTGTTGTTGAATTTAAATAGACACAGGAATTAATCTAACACACATACTTTTGCTTCTGAGGTGAACATAACTCAACTCCAATACATACATTCAAGGTTCTTCGGAACTTCAGAAATCATGTCAGAAGTGCTACACAAATTTGTGGTTGTTTGCCATAGAATATAGAGCTCAGATGATGGACATGCCATTTTTTGGCTAAAAACATGCCAATATGAAATGTGGAAGAGATGGATTAATCATCATCATTTATTAAAGTCGGCATTTTCCTTCTTATGAAGGGTTACTGACTTTCACGTCATGATTGCACTCCCTCCCTTAAGCATCCTCTTCATTTCGACCGACCTTACTGCCCTCTTTCTCTTCTATATCTTTCCATGAAATCTGCAGTCTTCCTTTCCTTCTTATACATTGTATGGCATCCACTTACGGATCCCATGTTCTTTTTCACAGGTTCATAATTTTTCCTTCTGAACACAAGACCAATTCATCTCAATCCACCTCTCTTTGACACTTCCACCAACCTTCCAGACCCAACCTTTCCATGAGCTCTGCTTCTAAAATGTATAAAAAGGCATATAAGTACCGGTACATACATTATATCGATTTGACCGATGTTTTTCATTAGATGGTGAAGGGCAATTGTCTTGTCTGACATTTTGTCCTCTGACACTAACGTGGATCCACACAGTTCTTGAAGACATGTTCCTGTAGTGCACATACATGTCATTAAGAAAGAAACCGTACATTTTTTTCTTCACCAGGCACTGGCTGGACTTACGTGAGTCCACCTGAGACAGCTCTCCTAACCAGCGTTGCTGTGGGTAACAACGTGGTCTGGGCACTCACCAGAGATCAGAAGGTACGGACATGATATCAATGATTAATAGACTTTCATCAATTATATGTCATCAAAAATATGTACATATTTTGGAAGATTTTCGATATTATTATTTGTATGATCTGGGCCTTGCGTTGACTAGACAATTTGACAAATCTTTCACTTTGCACGATAGTAACCCGGTTACCATGCAATCAGAAGAAAAAAAATCTCATGGTTTGTGGAAAAGTACTCAGATGACTGTGCAATATTGATTCAATATCTTATGGTTTGGGGTGCGTAAACGTGTAAAAAAGTGAATACGTGTTTAAATACACGGATGCTATGACAATGGATGTTGCGTGATGCATGCAACCCCTGCAAAATGCTTGCATAAAGGCAAACTATGTTTTGGTTGTGCAACATTACCAGATTCAGCTTACATGTAATTCAAAGCTGGCTTGTACCATTGCTATCACTTCTAGTGCTTATAATAATAATAACAATAAAAACAGTGCTTATAAAGCGCTTACTACCCAAGTCTCTAAGTGCTAGCTATAACAGACATGATACAATGATAAACAATTACATATTAAACAAAACAATAAAGTGCAAGTAAGCCTACAGATTAGTCTACAATACATATGAAATTTACATTAATGTGGACAGAGTAAGTTAATCATGTACTATCAACTTCTAGCACTATCAACTTCTTTGTTCATATGTTACTAGGTTTGGTTCAGAAAAGGCTTCATGTCGACTGATATGAAGGAGAATAGAAGCAACCGCTCAGGGACCAGCTGGATTGAAATGTGCGGCCAGGTGGCACAGCTCACGGTCGGACCCAATGATCAGGTAGAGTAGAGAAAACACTTTAATGCCCCATTGCACTATTTGTAGCTACTTGCGCCCTCTATATAGCAAACAATGCCTTATTGGTGACCATTGGTCCCCCCATGATCCCCTATTTCTTATGTTAATTGAGAGCTGACTTGATGAGATAACCACCTGTCAGTGACCATGCAGGGAGGCCTAAGCCCTCCTGGCCAAATCGGTGCAGTGGGGCTTTAATACTAGCCTCCCTAAATAGTCAAATTATATCTCCTAATGTCTATATTTGCCATTGCTTATTATAACTAATACAGGTATATTTCTCTCAAGTACTTCCAAGAACTTTTGATTATTACCCTAGCTTTCTCAGCCTAGCAGCCGTAATATAAGTGCCGAAGCTTTAAGGAATTAGTTCATACCATTACCCATTTAATTCATCTGGGTATAGTCTCCAGGTTGGGTTCTGAGTGGCTTTTAGAGCTTAGAGTTTAGAGTTTTGTTAATAGATTGAAAACATAATGACTAATTTCATCTGTATCCAAGACAATAACTTACATTTAGCCAGGATAAATATTCTTCAAATAATAATAATAATATTCCACTTTTATAAAGTGCCCAATACATCGATACAACGGTGTGCCTAAGCGCTTTACAGATATATTATTACCCGGTCATCGAATTCAGGCTTACCCTATATTGCAGGCTTACCCAGATGTTGTTAAAGCTGCCATACTCCCATGATATCTTTGGTTACTTTCAATGTGGAATTCTAGGTTTGGGCTCTGACTGCTGAGGAAGGTCGCTCTATCATTTTCAGATCTGGTGTTTCCTACGAAGAGCTCAGCGGTAGAGAATGGAAAGCAGTCATTATCATCGAGAAGAATGATCAGAGATACATCTACCAACCGCCTGATACCATCAGTGTAGCAGACAGCATGGTGTCAAACTCTGTTAGCATCTGCGGCAAGACCCAGCACTTGCTTGATGCCGATAGCCGGTTCATGAGAAGCGTGAGTGAGCCATCGGCTTTGTCCCTCATGGGATATGATTCCTGCGTACCTTCTGTCCTGGGAGATGAGTTCATGCACAATGGCAAGTTGATGAGAACGATGTGTGCGCAGACAGTTGATCTGTCCATGGCTAGCAATTCGGTCGCACTGCACTCTGGTTTTGAGGACAGCCAGAACTCGGCCTTCCTGCCAGGAGATGGAGGCACTATTGGCAGATCGGCGTCTGCGAGTCCTGTGAATGTACCCGGTGTTCCTGAACTTGTGTCAGAGCCTCCCGAGACTGATTCCCCATCAGTATCTGTCCCTGCCAAGGGTTTAACAGTAGAAGACATTCATAACCTGAGTCCTATAGCAGTGCCTGTGCGTGCTTTTACCAGGCAGCCTAGTTATCACACGGATGTCTCCGTCTCCGACAACACCATTGACTACATCACAGATTTTAACGAGGAAGACTCTTGTGAGAACCTGCAGGATAGTGGAAGCGAGAAAGGTACGCAAACAGAGACTCTACCAGACTGTGTCAATCTCCACCACGGTGCACTGGTGGGCCCAGATATCACAGTAGACCTGGTGAAGCGGTTGCAACTACAGAGCAACCAGTCAACGTCCACTACAGGAATCCCTGACAGTGTGGAGAGGGAAGACGGGAGACCCGCTTACCTTGTAGACAATAGTAAGAATTCTCTAGGAAGTATTAAATTCAGTGTAGGTGACAAGGAACTTGGGCTGGATTCCGGAACCGTTAGCGATGGTGATTTAAGGACTACACCTTCCATTATGGTGGAGGACTTCGATAGCCGACCGAGACCACATCTATTCACCTCACAGTCACGGCAGCGGGGTCTTATGAACTCGTTCTCTAGGACAGTGGATTCATCCTTACCGATACGGAATGACAGCATGGCAGACCTATGTTCAGTGGAAGACGAGATGGACCTGGAGGAACCACTATGGATGTGGGTCTGCGGTGGAGGGTGTGTGGTCGAGCCGACATCACTACCTAAATGGTTTCATCAAGGTACGAATCCAGCCTTTCCATTTAATGTATATCTGTAAAGTGCGTAAACTCCGAAGAGGTGGTATTCAGTATTAAGAGTGCCCCCCCTGACGGGCTCCAGGGAAAAAAGAAAAAGGGGGAAAAAAGGGGAAAGAGAAAAAAAGAGAAAAAAAGAGGAAAGAAAAGAAAAGAGAGGAGGGGAAAGAAAAAGAAAAAAGGAAAAGGGGAAAGAAAAGAAAAGGAAAAAAGGAAAAGGGGAAAGAAAAAAACGAATAGAAAGGAAAGAAAGAGAAAAAAGGAAAAGGAAAGAAAAAAGGAAGAAGAAGAGAAAAGGAAGAAAAAGGGAAAAGAAAAGGAAAGAAAAAAAGGGGGAAAAAAAAAAAAAAAAAGGGCCATGGCCATACGCACGAGAGGGGGGGGGGGGCAGTTAACCCCAGATATTTTGAAAACGTACAGTTTTTTTCCTGAAAATGTTTATCAAAGCTCACAAGTAGTGTAGGCCTATATCAAATCCTTCAATTCTACTTTTGAAAATGCAGAAGTACCCTCATGACTAGTTCGGTCACTCGAACTCCCTTCACTCCTTTCGCTTTTGAGTTTCTTCGAGAAAAAAATTACGCATCTTTCCCCGCCTCCCCCACCAGAAAAATATTCCGCATACGGCCCTGAAAAAGACAAATGAAAATAGGAAAATATAAGTGATATAACAAATTCGAAACTCTTCGCTGGCGCGAGCTGCTTGCTAGCCTATTTGTATTAATTGTTTTCACTTGCTCATCCCCCTGAAAAAAGAAAAGGATTAGCATTGCCTAGAATACAATTGTGCCTGCCCCGACGGGCCCCGACCTGCAACCATGGCAACAATAACACCCAATTTATGTACCAAATGTTACTAAAAGAGACTAATTCATTTTTTCTCGCTCGCTATGCTCGCTCGCGAATAAATGGAATAGACATTGCTTTGAAAACAATTGTGCCCACCCTTGACCTGCAACAATATCATTAAAAATGGAAGTGTTTTTTCGCCCTCTCGCCAAAAAGGAATTGATATCGCGTTAAACGCGATTGCGCCCATCCCGACCTGCAGCAATAAAAACTAGTTTATGTATTAATTTCTATTAAAAGAGAATTGATTTTTTTTTTGCTTGCTCGCTATGCTCTAGTGCCAAAATGGAATTGACATATTGTTGCCTGCAACAATAATCGCAGTAAATAAGTACCAAACGTTATTTTAAGAGATATTGTTTCCTCGCTCGCCAGAATTGATGAATTGATTTTAGTGATTGATATATGAGTTGATTTGTGTCACCCCGACCTGCAACATAAAGATATATGTTTATATACCAATTATCATTGAAAGAAATGAGTATTTTTGCTTGCTCGCTATACGCTCACTCCCAAATATGTATTTAACATCACCTTAAGCGCGATTGTGCTTGCCTCAACTTGCAGCAAATCAGTAAAAAAAAATATATAGAAAAGTTTATTCGCTTTTTTCTACCCAAAATTGAATAAACATTGCCCTAATAATAAGGCCCCGACCTGCTAGGGTAGATGTTAATCTATGTTCCAATCATCATAAGACAACTATATTCTACGCTCGCTAGCCGATTGGAATTAACATCATCTTAAAACATGATCGTGTCCACTCCAATATGCAACGAAAAAATCTTAAGTTTACGTACCAATTATTATTGAAAGAATAGTGTATTTTCCAGCTTGGCTCGAGCTTGCTCGACATAATGGAATTACCATCGCCTTTATGATTTTGCCCGCCCTGACCTGCAACAATAAACCAAGTTCATGTACCAATCAACATTAAAAGAAAATTGATTGATTTTTTTTTTTTTTTTAAATTTTTGTTAATTTTATTTTGTTACGATTAACATCGCGAACAAACATGCTCGCCCCAACCTAGAACAAATTACCAGTTAATAGTTATGTACCAAACGTTATTCAAAGAACATTTGGTTTGCTCGCTGGCTACGCTCCCTCGCCAAAATGGAATTAACATCACCTTAAACATGATTGTGTAAGCCCCAATCTGCAACAACAACAAACTGAAAATTATGTACCAATCAGCATCATTAATTTTTTTTTGCTCGCTCGCCAAAATAGAAGTAACATCGCTTTTACTATAAATCACGCTTGTGCCCGCCCCTGACATGGAACGATAAAAACAATTGTATGTTCCATGTTCTCACTAAATGAGAAGTGATTTTTTTCACTCCCTCGCCGAAGTGGAATTATGCTTACATTACTAACAAAATTTAATGTTCCCGCCGCTGACCTGCTACAATATCATTGAGAAATGTGTTTTTGTTTTGCCTGCCCGCCAAAATGGGATTGACATTGGCTTAAACACGGTTGTACCCACCCCCGACCTGCAACTATGAAACAAAGTTTATGTACCAATTCATTGAGGACAAATGAACCAAGTTTAATTGGCAATTATTAAAAAAAGAAGCGATTTTTTTTATTGCTTTCTACGCTCGCTCGCCAAAACGGAATTAGCATCACCTTAGACATGATTGTGTAAGCCCTGACCTGCAACAAAAAACTTGAAATTTATGAACCAATTATCATTACAAAAATTTTGCTCGCTCGCTCGCTCGCCAAAATAGAAATAACATCGCTTTTAATAATCACGTCCCTGACATGGAACAATGAAACCAAGTTTATGTACCATGTTCTTACTAAAAGAGAAGTGATTTTTCGCTCGCTCGCTTCGCTCGCTAGCTCGTAGAATTTTGCCCACCACTGACCTGCTACAATATCATTAAAAAGAGAAATGTGGGATTTTTTGCCTGCCCGCCAAAATGGGATTGGCATTGCCTTAAACACAATTCTGGCTGCCTCCGACCTGCAACAATGAAACAAATTTTATATAGCAATTTATTGAGGAAGGTGTATTTTCGTTCGCTAGCTAAAATGGGTATAAAAACACCCTAAAACACCCTAAACACAATATTGTTCCCACACCCGGCATGGGACAATTGAACCAAGTTTAAGTGGCAATTATTAAAAAAGAAGTGATTTTTTTTCTTACTCGCTATGCTCACTTGCAAAAATGAAATTAACGTCACTGAATGAATGTGCCCACCCCTGACTTGCAACAATACCAGTTTATATACCCAACGTTACTTAAAGATATTTTTTTGCTCGCTCGCTCGCCAGAAGTGAAAATTAGCATCGCCTTTTGTTTTTGTTTCGGTCGCTTGCCCCCCCTGACGGAGTACCCCAGGTACGCCACTGGTATTTAGCATAGATGAGTGTTAAGTGTAAAAATTGTATCTTCTTCATTTTGAGGAAACAAGTTTAAAATTGTTCATTCTTACAAAAAGATTTCACACATGTGTATGTCTACAGAATAAAGCAGCCAAAGGGTTTATGACTTTAGTTTGAAACTTTTCTCTTTTTTCCAGCAAATTATATGTCAATATTACTATGAAAATCATACTACGTTGAAGGTTTCTTGAAATTAATGTGACTTAAACTACATTCACAAACTACTATCTTCAATCGTGTTGACATTCATGCACAAGTCATTATTCAAACAAAGACTTACATGTGTCCCTGCAGCTTCGGGATTAAAAGAGAGATACTTGATAATTTGATTTGAAATATTTGATGCGCCCTCTAGCCACCCTGAGCCAACAGAGCTTCCGCCATCGTCTCCAAGAAGGGCCCTGGCGTGGCGCCATCCTCAGTTCACTTAGGAGACGTAGAGACGAAGAGAGCAAGTTTTTCGAGCACTATCCTAATGCGGTCGAAAGGGTAAGATATTCTTCCAATTGTAGCCGTACTGCTTTAAGATAGATGTAGCATGGCCTTGACTCTGTGTATGTGCGTATTTGGTTTTCTTACAGACGTGTATCAATCAGATATCATTATTTACGTCTTGGGACCGACCTTTAAACGTCACCATCCGAAAGACGTGACTCAATTTCGAACCTGCGTCCTCGGCTGAATCAGTTTGTAACTTCCATCGTTAGCTGGATTACAGGCGGACCCCACTCCCATTTGTCAATCAGCATTTATAGAGTAGAAGCAATATTATTATATATTATTATGTTACCATGTTGTCAGGAGTTTAAGCTTAATCCCTGATTTGAGTCGTAACCTCGCATCATCTGAGTTGTAAAATACATTTTGCAGATGTGCATTTGTCATTGTGGCAATGAAGCATCAAACTAAAGAGAAATATTGTTTTTCTCATCATCTTCTCCAAAAAGACATTTCCCTCATACTTCTTTTCCAAATGTGATGAGATCATATTTTTCCTATATGCTCTAACTCTCTAAAGATATTACATCTATTATTTATATTTTGAGAAAGTGCTTAATGCTTGTATGGTACAAGCTCTATGCCATACTACATGTAAGTATGATATTCAAGAGATTAATTTCAGAACATATCCTGTGATTTTAAAAATGGGTTTTAAATTATATGTAGTTCAAAACACTTCAAATCTGTTTTATGCACCCCCATTGTTTAAATGCAGAGTTCCTGGGCCAAAGTGGGTCGTCTTCAGTGGCACAGTGAAGGAAGGAGGCGACAGTGGGCAGACTGTACCATTGAGCTGGAGAGGGGTGTGGATGGGACAGGGAGGCAGCAGAGTAGATTCTCCCTCCATTACCAGTCATTTGGCAAACAGAAAGTAAGTTTTGATACCCTTTTAAAGGCTTTTTCAACTATGCTGTCGTAAACCGCCGCCTTTTATAACATGTAAATTAACAGCAACTGTGTGCAGCAAAGGTCTTATGTTTATTCACTGAGCTTTGTGTTATAAGATACAGAAATTGTATTTTGCTTTACTTTAAGTAAAACAAAAAAACAATACAGTTTTGCTGGGTCATATCTCAACGAGGCATCATTCTTATAGAAAGTCGAAAATAGTGTGTCCATTAATACTGCCAGGCAAAAACATACACGGGGGCTCGGGGCGAATTAGCCCCCAAAATGCCAAAAAGAGCCTCCGAAAGTCATAAAAGAGCCCCCAAAATTGTGCATAGAGTTCAATGCAAAACAAATTAAAATGTGTTATTTTCATGCAAGCAAGCAAGCTTGAAAAGTAGCCCCCGAAAGTTTTTTACCGTTTTTTCCCCTGAATACTGTATCAGTTTGATAGGGAGACCAAGATGTCTGCTGGGAGCTAGAAGGACATTACCTGTTGCTTTAGGAGGATATGAGTCAATGCCACTGTGACTCTTGGTAGAGGGAACATTTGATGCCAATCTCTTGAAGTTTTATTACTCTAGAATTATTGGGTTTAAAGCTTTCAAAAATATCCCCTTTTTTCACTTCATGACTAGATTAATTTTTCTATTGATTTTATTGCAGAATTACAATAATCTATGATAAATACCGGTAAAAAGCATGACACTTGATGTTCTATGAGCTAGTGGGCTAATTTAGTTTAACTTAGTCCACCTTTAAAGGCAAAGACCAGTTTTGGAAACGCCCCCCTCTCAAAAAATGAAATGGAAGCTCTTATTACCAATCATGTGAAAGTTTTGACTAATACGTGATGATACAAATTTTGCCGGGAAACCGCCTACTTATTGATATATTTGGAAAATTATTATACATGTATCTATCCGGACCGGATATATATATCTTTCTGTGTACAGTGCTTTTAACTTTACCAAGACTGGCCAAATTTTTTTCTGATCTGGTATCATTTTGATGATTCCAGAACCTTGCAGTACAAACCAATACTTATATGCTAGTTGATCAACCTTTTCTGATCGATTCCACAATGGTTCTTTCACAATGCAATCGCTTGACCAGAACTGGTCTTTACCTTTAAAATATGAGCCTAAAAGCTTTATCAATATATGTTTGCTCTTGCGTTTTTTTTTCACAGCTGATCCGTTTCTTGTTGAGTGAGATAACGTGCGTCCAGGAGGTAAACAATGGCTCGGAATACCCTTCCTTCTGCATCTTCACACCAAAGAGGGTGCTAGACAGAAAGCCGATCACTCTCCGAGCAAACAGCGACAAGGAGCTGGAAGAATGGGTGAGAATATGTAGTAGTGTTGCTATAGTAACAGGCATGGATAATGATGATGATGATGATGATGATGACGATGATGAAGATCCAGACAGAATTGTGTGTGTGTTGGGTTTTTACAGACGTGTATCAATTACATATGATTATTTACGTCTGGGGACCGACCTTTAACGTCACCATCCGAAAGACGTAGACGAGACTCAGTTTCGAACTTGTGTCCTCGGCTGAATCAGTTTGTAACTTCCACTTTTAGCTGGATTACAGGTGCACGCCACAACGCTAGCTAACAGAATTTAACAGAATTGTGTCACATTTTTATTTTTTATGATTTATGTTCATCAGCTTTTTCAGGGCCCTGATTACATTCCTGGGAGTCCTATTGAACCATAATATTTTATATTGTCACTGTAAATTTTTTTTATTTTTATAAAGGTTGCTGCAATCAGCCAAGCGTGCACGGAGGTCAGAGGAATATATGGAGCGCCCTCTTGCAGGGCGTCGTGGTTAGTGACATGCCGAGGAGATGTCTTCGTTCATGAAACTTTGCCAAACATGCAGATTGCGCCCTCGTCTCACTTGTAAGTAGATTTTATTTATTTTTTTTAATTTTTAATTTGTGCAAATGATTGCTGTGACCTATATCATAGCATATTGAGAGAGTGAGAGAGAGAGAGTTGTAACATGCACATTACGCATACACAAGTGTGGCGATGAATGAAGTAGAAGTTCCCTCCCTTACATGGAAATGTTTCTACTGAGTACATGTAATATATGTCTTGTTTTATACTTCTAGGTTTAGGAAGAATTTCTGCAAAATAACCTTTAAGTGCCAGATTGTAGATTATCTTTCTTTGTTTTATTGTTGGAAAGGACACAAATTTCTCCCATAGACACAATTTTCATATTACAATATTTCATAGTACAATACCCTTTTTTGTTTGGGGGGGGGGGATGATAAAAACATTTGGGAGTATTCAAGTACCTCATAGTAATTATGTTGATCTAATAATGTTTAATTCCTACAGTTGTACTTGTAGATTGATTTGGATACATACATGTGAATATTTATCCTAAAACGATGTCTTTCAAATTGAAAGTATGAAATAATATACAAATTATCGCTTACATTTATGAATGATGGTTTCATTTCATTGATTATCTGAAGATACTGGAGACAGATTGGAGGACATCTGGCTTACATTGAAGCATGTGGAGCAGGAGTGGTCTGGGGTCTGGGGCAAGACAACACCCCTTGGGTCTACCTGGGAGGTTACGGAGGGATGTTCAAAGGTAAGATGGGTGAAGATGTTTGGAAGGGTAGAGATGGAGATGGGAGGGGAAGGATAATTGGAGGGAGGAAGGGACTGAGGAAGAGATAGTGAGGAAGGGATGGATGGAGGGAGGAAAGGTTTGAGTGTGAGAGTAAGGAAGAGATGGATATGAAATGAGGGATTAGAGGGGGGGGGGGAGTGGATGAGGAGGGGGAGGGGAAGGATATATCAGACAAAATCACACACCCTGGGTCTAAATGGAGGAGGTACATTTATCATTTAAAGGTACATGTAGGGTAAGATGAGGTGGTATGTTAGGGATGGTGCTATGGTAAATGAGGAGAAGAAGGAGGAGGGGTAGGTGGTAGGGTGAGTGGATGCAGATATGAGAGGGATATTAGGCAAGACCATACATCATGGGTCTATCTTTGGGCAGGGATATTTAAAGCCATACTATACTAGAAGCACTACAGCTAAAATCCTCTCTAGTGCCATGTCAGGTCGGCTGTAGCCGTTCTTACATCGACCCCTCTGTCTGCGAAGTGGGAATTACGATTGGGTTATGCACTGTTGGCAAGTTGACCATGAGATGGCGCTGTACAATAAACAGTACAGAAAGTTCATCTGTTCAGTATCATTTTAAAGGTGAGATAAGCTTAAGTTATAGGTGAAGAATTTTGGTTTGGGTATGTAGAAGGAGAGGAGATGATACGACTTTTGAATCATAAATTTACAAATGAACTACGTTGCAATACTGTTTAAATAAGATACACAACAACATCCCATGTGCAAAAAGATACATTTTTTTTCACAAAGATGTATACAATGGTTATAAAAAAGAAAAAGATGGAAAATATTTAATGGGAGAATAACTACAGAGCTGCCAACCATTCCGTTTTTGCCGGAATTACTCTGTTTTTTCCTCCAAATTATGGTATTACGTTTTTTCTTCATAAATACATTGTTTTTTGTTCATTTTTTTTTTTTTCATACCGTACGTCTAACAACTGCCCTAAAATGGTGATTTGATCTCAAATTCAATAGAAAACTAATTATAAAACATACTTGAAGCGAAAAATATTCTCAAAAAGAATGAAATAGCGATAATACCAAAATAACCACCCCAAAAAATGCCTGCTTGTATGGAAAAAACAGCATGATGAATGAACATTTTTGCATTGGAAATGTGTCGCGCGTGGTTGTATGTTTCGTTTTTAAGAATTCCATTTTTTTGCTTGAAATTCCTTTTTTTTGCCATCATGATTCCTTTTTTTGGTTGCACAAGGTTGGCAGCTCTGTAACTACGATTTATTTTGCAGGGATCTACAGCAGCTCTTTTGGCAGCCAGCCTCAGACGGACTCCAAGAACATCTGTGTGTTTGAGAACCAACGATGGAGCCCTCTAGCAGGCTTCACTGACAGGTATTAAACAAAAAAAATCCTTTGATTTCAGAGTAAAAGTCAAATTCACTTCAGGTTTATTAACATTAAAAGTAAAGTATGAGACAGAAGACCAGAGACTAATAATGTTTTTACATATAAAACATAGATATTTACATTTAAGGTCAAAATATTAAATACAAAACAAGTGAACCAAACAGAATAGATATAGAAATATGCATTGAACCAATGAATTGTAACCATAAAAAAAACAACATTTTAGGCAATATTTAAAGATCATAACTTGTATTTTTGTTAAAGACTTACACTGATCTTAGTCATTATGTACATGTAGTTTCTAATGTGATATTCCGATTGATTGTGTGACATGAATAATTGAAATTGAAATTGATCTTTATTTAATCCATTGTAAAAACATCATAAACATTTCTAAAGTTTTAATTTCAGAAATAAAGGTTTAGTATGAGCAAAATAACCGGCATGTTAGACTAATTGAATAGCTCTATTCTGTAAGCATAATAGTCTACTCATTGCAAGATCAGTTGACGATCCCCAGTCAAGGTTACAATGATTAAAATAAGGAGATATAATGGCATCATAAATTATAATTGAAATATTTCAAAGAAAATGTTTGATTTCATTCAAAATACCTATACTTTTAGAAATGTTCCTGCAGATAACATCATTGTGTTCCATGCAAGATAATTTACTGTCAGTTGTTACGCCTACAAATTTCAAGGAACTACAACGATCAATTTCATTATTATTTAAAGAAATAACCAACATATCATATCGATTAACATATTTGTAAAAATCTTATAGTGAGTCTTTCTAGTATTTTAAACTAATTTATTTTCAATAATTCATCATTAAAATCAAGAATCAAATTATTAATATTGTTATAGGATAAAAAGACGCTGGTATCATCGGCATATAAAATATATTCTAACTTTTGAGATGCTGCACAAATATCTTTCATATAAATGAGAAATAAAAGTGGACCAAGAGTGGATCCCTGGGGTACTCCACATCCTACAGCATTCAAATAAGACTCATGACCATTGACAACTACATATATTTTACGATAAGTTAAAAAAATTGAAATAAGTCTAAAAGAATACCACGAATACCATGATTTTTTCTCGAATTCGTTTTCACTGGCTGCCTGCTGTAGCAACAAACATTTGACAAAAGACTTAACTCTGTTTCATTGACGATCAGCCATGCACGAAGAAGACAAAAGACTTGATGCATTGCTGATCGTCAACGAAAGGGGGTTAAGTCTTTTGTCAACTCTGCTTGTTGCTACGGCAGGCAGACAGTGAAAACGAATTTGTTTAGTCAAATTATGGAAATGCAAGCATTACTTTAAACAAACAGAACTTTGTTATTCCTGGCTCATTTTTCCTGATTGAGGTGTCATATGAAAGGGCAGGGAATGAACTTTCTAGAAATGTGATTTTCTCTTTGAATTTCAGATACCGCCTGTCAAATAACTTTTAGGTTTCCTCTCTTCAATTTTGATTTAATCACTCTTGCGTGAAATATGCATTATATGAGTTCGATCAAATGAAAGAGGAGGATCTAAGCTTTACAAATATGTGTCATTTATTAAGTATAATTGTAATTAAGTTATGATAAAACATCAATAATTCTCGTTTTCGTTTTTTCTGGAACGAACTGTTAAACGTGTACCTTGTTATTTGGATTGTAGCAAATTAAACTTGTATTTACATGAATATCCCATTTAATTTCCTTCGGTCAAAGGAGATTAATAATTCCATGTAAATTTTCAACTTTTGTTTCTGTGCCTGTAAATTTATTAATTATTTCTTTAGAGGATTGTGGACAAATGATTCTGGGAAGATTATTGAATCGAGAGACAATGTGCAGATGCCCTCATCACTCTGGCAGTGGGTAAGTTTATCATGAGCGTGATTGGGAGTATGATTGTGCTTGTGATCACGATTATGATTATGATTATGATTATGATTAAGATTGTTATGGTTATGATGGATTATAATTATGATTATGGTTATGATTATAAATTTGATTATGATTACAATGATTACGATTACATTGATTATGATGATTATGCTTATGATTTTGATTATACTGATGGTTATGATTATGAATATGATTATGATTGCAATGATCATGATGATTATGATTATGGTTATTATTATGAATTTGATTGTGATTACAGTGATTATGATTACATTGATTATGATGATTATGCTTATGATTTTAATTCTGATAATTACCACATTTTCAGAAATGACGTATTACTTTTAAACACATAAAGAAAATACACATGGGAAATTTACAGAGTTAGTGAATGCAGGAGACGGCGCTAGTGAGCGGGTTGTTTAATGTCGATGGTGGCCTCAATAATAAAAATAATAAATTGTGTCTTTTATAATGTTATATCCAATTTAGAACTGATCAGAGCGCTTTAAAAAATAAATATATCTATGAATTAACTTAACAAAATATATGATAGTAATGTAATGCAGTTAATTACAATTTAAATAGTTGTGTTTTAAGATACTTCTTAAATAATTAAACTGGCATACTACAGCATAATTCACAAGGTAACCTATTCCATGTAACCGGACCACTGTAATAAAAACTTCGCTCACCTATCGTTAGTTGAGCGAAGATTATACGTGGAGTGACAGGAAGATTGTAATAAGAAAGACAAATATTCAGGGGCAACATAATGTGTACATTTATAAACAAACAGTGCGGCTTTGTACATTACTCTGTTTTCGACCGGTAGCTAATGAAGTTGTCTATTAAAGTAGGGGTGATGTGTGATCCTGTCTCTTAGCTTGAAGAAAAAACACGAGCAGCACGGTTTTTAATGCACTGAAGTCTTTGAATTTCTATTACTGGGGCATTAATGAGGAGGGAATGGGAACAGTCCAGCTGACTAAGGACTAGTGAATGGACAGCATGATGACCCACTTCTTCTGTCAAAAATCTCCACACCCCTGAAATGTTGTGAAGCTGAAAATTCAGAGATTGGCTCAATGCAGTAACTTGTTTGCATGTGGACGAAGAATCAATATCACCCCTTTGTTACGAAAATGATCTGATGTCTCAACTTGGGAATTTCGAACAGATATAGAACAATTTTCTGGAAGATGATGTCTGAGTTTAGGAGATACAATAACCATCATCTCTGTCTTATTTTCATTACCAGTAAGTTTTAATCTATTGTATGACATCCATTCTCTTAGTTCAGCAATCATGAAGAACATCCATTAATTCCATAAGACTACTAGGTCTTTTAGGATCGAAACTACAATACAGCTGCGTATCATCAACATAAACATGATACTAAATACCTTATCGCCTATATATTTCTCCTAGTGGTTTACCGTGCATATCTGAAAATTGACCGGTTATTGAAACACGCCAATGAAAGTGTTAAAATTCATGTTATTTGGTCTCGTTAAGCTCTCGTAGGGATGTCAACCTACAGTGTATTGGAATCTAAAGGTGAACCAAAGTTGATAACAATGTTCTAGTATATGGGGCAAAATGCCTTGGACTTGCCGTTGTCATGACTGACTTCAGCTCTGTGGGTCTCATTTTCCACTGCATACCTTCATGTTGGGCTTATCAGCATCACAATTTAGAGAGGAATGGCATTGTTGATAGCCTTATTAGCTCTCATGCTTTTCTCAAACTGGGCCCAGAATAATTCCTGTCCATCTTCATCATCCGTCCACAACATGTAAGGTTTGTTCCTACTCAGGAACAACCTGACAAGGTACGGCAGGTTCTCATCCTCGATGTCCTCAACAAAGATCAAGATGACTTTGTCCAGTCCCGAATCATTGAGATGCTCCAGAGCCATACGAAGCTTGGTCATGGTCCAAGCATCATTGACAGACTGGTTGCTTAGCAACAAGACAGTCTTGAAGCTGTTGTCGATGGCATCATAGAGTGCAGGGATGTAGTACATACCCAGGTGAAGGCCTTCGTCTCCAAAGATAATATTCTGTAAATGTGGCATCCTCTCCTCTAGGGCAGGTCTCATGACCCGGTCAACCCACTCCTGTTCTGCTTCCTCGAACATGAGGTTGAGATGATGACGATAGTTATCTGCATTGAAATCTTCTGCCATTTCCTCGTATCCAATGGCAGCTAGTTTGAGGAGAAAGAGTTTGTGATTCAACCACCATCGTTTGTTGTATGCAAGCATGGATATCATCACAAGCACTACACCTGTCAATGTCAGAACCGTGATGAGAACAATGTCCGCACCACAGTGATCTTCAGGATGAAATGCCATGATTGGCTGATTCACCACTCCCTGTAACGATGTCTTAGAGCACAGTGTCTTTTCTGCATGTTTGAGATCAATGTCGGCTGACTGCAGCCATTGCCTGAACCATGTCAGGGAGCATGTGCATGTGAAAGGGTTTCTAGAAATGTCCAACCTTAGTGAAGTATTCGCTGGCAGCACTGTCCCACGTCCAATAGTGCTGATTTGATTTCCCGATAAAGAGAGATCAGTCAGTCGAGGAGCCTGGGCAAATGTAGTCGGTTTCAGACCACGAAGAATATTGTCTGGGATGTTCACCACTCTCAGTTGATAAAGACCATGGAAAATGTCTCCTGCCATCTCCACGAGTTTGTTTTTACGGAGATAAAGAAACCTGAGAGAAGAGAGGGGACTGAATACTCCTGGCCTCAGCACCTGTATCCTTGATTCATTCATATCAAGATAGTAAACATTTGAAAGGTTGTGAAATACTCTCTTATCCAGGCTGACTAAATAATTGTCTTTGAGTCGTAGTTTTTGTAGTGAAAAGAGACCAGAGAAAAGGGACTGATTATTGATCCCATCGTACAAATCTGTATCTTTCAGCCTGGCCCTTTCTAAGTGTAGATCTTTTAAACATGTCATATTATAAAATTGTTTAATAGAACTTTTAGACACTTGAATATCTGTATATGAAAGATCCAAGTAGAGCACGGTCCGAAGTTGCTTAAAGGTGTTTTCCAAGAGTACTACCATCTCGTTTGACAAATGCAGTTCCGTCAAGAGTACAAGGTCTGTAAATGCATTTTTACTGTAACTGGAAACCTGGTTGTACGATATATTGAGTACCTGCAGATTGGTGAGCCCTGTAAACGTCCCTTTTAAGATGAATGGTATATTGTTATAAGATATGTCAAGTAACCTGAGAGTCCCAAGTGTCCAAAGTTGTTTACCACTGTTAAGATCGGTGATTGTATTACCGAATAGAAAGATTGACCGTATTAATGGCATTCCGTCAAAGGATTGGGGCGAGAGATTTTGCAGTAGATTGTAGGATACATTCAATGTTGTTAAATTTGGCAAGCAAGCAAAAGTTTCAGGTGGTAAGGAAACTAGTTTGTTAGAGGATATGTCAAGTTCTATGAGCGATGTCAACTGGCAGAAGGACTCGTTGGAGAGAGAACTTATCTTGTTGGAAGATAAAAGCAGCTTCTTGAGCCGTATGAAACCCCAAAATGACCCAGGAGGTACATACTCAACGGAATTTCTCCTCATGTCAAGTGTCAAAATAGATGGATAAGGGGTATGATAATCACTGGCATTGTCAGGTGGGAGAAGTTGATGGATTCCACATCCCCATACTGATAGTTTTTTAATATAAGTCATTCCTAAAAATGGTTGAATATCAAATGATTTGAGGGAATTTCCTTGAAGTATAAAACTGTCTATGGAAGTCAGATGCGAGAAGGCTTTTGTTGATAAATTATGTATCTTATTTCCAAACAGTGAAAAAGTACCAACAGTAGTATTTTGCAGGGGCAGAAAGTCACTCTGATGAATTTCTTGCACCTCATTCATCCGCAGAGTTACTTCCGTCAAATGAGACCATCGGGAACATCCCTTGAAGTTAAGACTTTTTATTTTGTTGTGAACTAGCTCAATTCTTGAAAGTCTTGATATGGCTGCAAGAGATTCACAAGGAAGAGTATCCAGTTGATTATAACCCAACTCTAGTTTGGTGAGTAGCATGTTTTTGACAAAGAGCAGAGGAGACATAGTCTGTAGATTGCAATGAGATAATACGACCGACCTAAGGATTGTCAGGGGCCACAGAGCCTTGCTTTCGATGACAGAAAGTGGGTTATCATATGCAGCCAGTGTAACAAGATTTGGCAGGTGTTTGAAGGACTCGTCATGCAGGGTTGTTATGTTGTTGGAGGACAGGTCAAGGGTATTCACTTCTATTGGCAAGTCCTGAGGTACTGCTCTTAGCCCAAGATTCCTGCAATTGGCGATGATTCCATGACTTGAGTTCTTTAAATGGCATTTTGGAAGATTCTTGTTTGAAGCCACATCTTTTGCAGTACCCTCAGACTGAGGCAGGAGCAGGAAGACGATTCCTGATGCAACCAGAACCAAATGAACACATATCATGGCAGCCATATTGTTTCATTCACAGACCTTAATGATGAGAGTAGATGATACTGCCTTTAGAAACTAGATCAGGAATAGCGGCAGCGTGCATGAGCTTTCGTCAATGCTCATCAGCATAACTTTTCTGTAGAGTTACAGTGCAAATCATGTACATCTATTTATGCAAAACCTGAAATGAAATTGTGAGGGAAATCATAAAGCTTCCTGAAAATATTGAAAACAGGAAATACCAGGCCTCTCATAAATCCTGGTTCATCATGATTACAAGGAAGAATATCAACTTTTGTATGATATTAATATGCAAATCCTCTATGCCGTAAAGAAAATATATGTAAATATATACAAATAACAACTAAATTAATCATACCCTTACCAAGTTTTGTCTTTTGGAGTGTTTTAAAAATTGACTTGTCTTGACTTGATTTATGTTTCTTGAGGATGTGAGGTATTAAAACCTACATCTAAAAGTATTAAAAGAATGCCCTAATGTCCACCTTTCATTCTTGAGGCACGAAAACACAAAAAACATCATAAATACAAGGGGTATGAACAATGTAGTTGTTAACTGTACATCCAACAAATATAGTCCATATCATTTATTCATGCACAGTAAAATATTTTCTTGTGTAGGTTTTTTAATTTTTAATTTTATTAAAGTGGTTGAAAAGTGTATTGCCCTTGCAATTTTAACAGGAAGTTTTAAATATGAAACCTTGCTTAAGCCCCTTTCACACCGGATCTGCGTAGAGTTGCGTAGTGTTGCGTACCGACTACGCCGAAGTTAAGCTGCGTACTCATGAATAAATTGATGCTTCGGCGTAATCCCTGCGTAGGCTTGCGTACGATCGGCGTATAGTTACGTACCCTGTGCGTAGGCAATTGGCGTAGGGTTACGTACGCTTGCGTAGGCCTGGCGTAGGGTTACGTACGCTTGCGTAGGCATGGCGTAGGGTTGCTTACGGTTGCGTACGGTTGCTTACTGTGTGCGAAAATGCCATGTAAAAATGCTATAGACGCGAGTATAGCCATAGGCGCTTTATAAACATATATAATAAAAAAATATGTTAAAAAGACAGTTCAATATGAACTGTGCAGTGTACAAAGAATTGTACATGTTATTACATGTGAACATAACTTGATCTTAGTATAATAATAACATTCTGACACACCCAAGGGGCAGTGGGTCTCTTTTGCATGCGTGAAATAGGGCTGAAACGCCAATTTGCGTAAAATAGTGATTGCAGAAAATAACATTTATAAACCTGCCATTAGTTTTAATAGTAGCATTTGGTACACGTTTTTGACCGTTAAATTTTCAGTTTTTTTAGTAGGTATTAGCAACTGCTGAGGTTATTTTTGCAGTAATGTTAATTTGTTCAAGATTTTATTTTCCAAAAAATGCAGACATTTTTGTTGATGTACTACATTATTGTACTATGTATCATTCAAAAGCGTGATACATGAACTTTCTTTTGATGGACATTGCAAGGTCACGTGATGTGATTTGATACCTCAAAACGCCAACAAAAGAGAGCGCTTATTTTGATTTGTGAATAAATGTGGACAGAAGTCTGATATTTGTTGACCATATCCATTTTTTCACTCATTTGTAAAATATCATTCCATAACAGTTTCCTGAAAGTTTGAAGACGATATCTGTTGTCCTTGGTCCGTAGCGTATTGTGTGTGACAATGTAATGATATAAATGTTAGTCAATTATTAGATTTAAAGAAATACTTTAATACAAAATTATTTCTTTGCTCATTTCAATTAAACAATATTATATTACAAACATACAAACAGGACCCCAAACGTACACACAAGCAAACAAACCGACACAAATACATACAGATTTCCACAAAACATAATAACATTTCGCATGAGGCATCAGTTTATGAATCTTATCTCTGTTTATTATATCAACAGCCTGAGATGTCAATTATCACAAATTGAATAAACCATAACAAAACAAAACATGTCAGTCTGAAATACCTTGTAGTAGTACAAACAGAATTACAAGCAAGAATGATCAATGATCAATACCTGCCAAATTTACATCCAGGTATATACAAAAAAAAATCTTTATACCATACGTTTTTAATGCTTCGTCGGACTGGCGTAGGGTAGCGTATTGTTGCGTAGGCTTGGCGTACATTTGCGTAGGCTTGGCGTACAGTTGCGTAGGCTTGGCGTACAGTTGCGTAGGCTTGGCGTACAGTTGCGTAGGCTTGGCGTACAGTTGCGTAGTAAAGTCTACGCCGAAGGTACGCGAAAAAAATTAAACATGTTTAATTTTTTGCGTTCATCTCGCGTACCCATTCGCGTCCCTCCGCGTACAGTTGCGTAGGGTTGCGTACGATCGGCGTAGTCGCTACGCAACTCTACGCAACTCTACGCAACTCTACGCAAGGCCCGGTGTGAAAGCCCCTTTAAAATGCATGCTTTTCTCTTTCATTTTCACGTCTGAAATCTGATCTAAACAGGAAGTTTGTAGCTCATCCTGAATGAAACCTAGATGAGGAGAAATTTCAGATAATAAATTACAGGAAGTTTTAAATATGAAACCTTGCCCAAAATGCATGCTTTTCTCTTTCATTTTCACGTCTGAAATCTGATCTAAACAGGAAGGAAATTATAGGGTCCTTCAAACTTTGTTTTTATTGAAAATGAACAGAGATTTTTGTTTACATGTATGCTAGGTGTTGATTTTTTCTTCTTGAAACTGTCAGGGATGTTTTGCTTTTATTCAAGACTCTATTCAAGACCAAAATGAAAAGCCAAGTTACAAGTTAACCTTTTCCATGACCATGTCAAAATGTTAAATAGTATTTAAAAAAATTATTCTCATTTTTTGTTAATGTTTATATTTTTTTCTTCTGCAGATATCTGACTGGAAGATTGATTTCACAATCTCTGGTAGCACAGACAAGGAAGGGTGGCAATATGCAAAAGAGTTCAAACAGTAAGATCTGAATTCAGCCCTATTTAAAATTATATTAATAATACAGTGATAATATAGTGAGTGCTCTCGAAGGGGACGTCCACCCTGATATTAATTTGGCTTTGATAGAAACAGACAAATATGACGAACAGGTCTGCTAAAGTTTGAGCAAATTCCGATTAAAAATAAGAAAGTTATGAATTTTTGAAGTTGCGATCAATCAAACACAAATAGGCAAGTCTGTGACATATCTTGTGAGCTCCTCTCCCATTTGCTCTGCACATAAAATTTGAGTGTGACTTTGAGTTTATTAACAACAACAATAAGAACAAGTAAAACATAATGTATCAACATGATTACATGAAATATAACAATATCACACAAGATAAATAACATTACAAGTGAATAAGATAAACATTGTTTTACAAAGTATGTCATATACAATTGCAAGAAAGATTATATGTACATTTTTGTTGTTATAGGGGGTACCAGAAGTTAGCACAAGTGCTGGTTGAGTCTAGTTCCCTGTCTTTGGCCACAACTGTTGGTACTATACTATATCACATATATATAACACATAAACTATATAAGGAAAGTAAACAAGGAAATAGAACAGTCATTTAGAAATATTCCTCACTGCATACAGTGTAAATACATGTACGTTAAATGTATGTCGACTTCCGTATCAAAAACAAAAAAAATATCATTATCTAATGCGATGATATTTTTAGAAATTCTCTAATCTGAGATTTCGTAATTGCCATTTTAAGAAGTCTTAACTTTTGTTTAACTTAAGGTATTTAGATGATTCATTAATCCCTTCCGAAAAGCATTTAGATCTTTTTGCTCCTAAAATCATGTGGTATACTTTGCCATATTTTCACGCCCATAAATGATATTGAGAATTGACCGTGTGTGGTTTTTGCATTTAGGCAGATATAGTTGTCCATGTTCTTTCCTCTTGTGCCATATCTGTGCATTATTACCTGACAGTATTCAATTAAGAATTAGGGAGTGAGGAAGATTGCCATTTTATAGGTCATACAGATGAAGGTTGAGACCGATAGCGTAAAGAAGAATAAGAAGAAAAAGAGACTGCATTTTAATGGGGAAGGGAAGGAGGGAACAATGGAGATATATGGCCCATATGTATTCATTGTCTAATTGTCTTCTACAAAAGATATTGTTGTATACTGTACGTCGACAGCACCATCAACAATATAGTATTAATGACTGCTTTGAGAGAAACAGTTGTTTTTATACGCTCAAGGGAAGGTTAGAATTGTGCTATTACCCGAGGCGTGCCGAGGGTGATAGCCCAATTGTAACCTTCCCTTGAGCGTATAAAATTCTCAAATATTAAAGCAGTCATTAATACTTTTATATGCCCAAAAATTTTTTTTTAAAAAAGATTTTTTTTTTGAAGATGGGATTCGATCTCTTGCGTTCAAAAGGTGATGTAACTCAAATCAGCGCCTTTAACCGCTCGGCTATCGTGCTCTGTTACCATTCATAGCAGTTTTTCTAATATATATACATTAAAATGGGTTGAAACGGCTTCGCGTGGTGGATGCTTCGCGGCTGCTCCATTAAACAGGCCCTTCTTTTACTTTTGCAATGCATATTGGCACGAATTTAGATCAAGTTTATTTTCGTCTTCATGTCAACAATGCAAGATAAAATTGTCGGTAAGATCGATCGAGATTCCATTGTATTGAAATTACCGACCAATTCTTCGCACACGTACGGTATCCTCGATCGCTCAGACCATTTTTTAACATGTAAACCTATGGGGTAACCATGGAGACTGACCTATTTTCCCAATAACCATGGTTATTGGGATTTTGAACTGTTTTTTAACCATGGTTACCGGGAATTTTCGGGAACAGTTAAAGTTTATGAATGCAATTTCGACCAATCAGATTGCTGGATTACTTAAGTGAGGTATATAATAGGATATACATGTCTTTTCATTTCAGTTTCATTGATAATAGTTGCTAACAATGCTATATTAAACATGATTTGTGTCTAATTTCTTCTATAATCCTTTCCTTGCTACCCAGTGATACCCCTAGCAGTCTAATCCCTCTGGGATTAGCTCTCTTTCCTATTCCCATGAAAATGCCAGGCATAGTTCAGGACGATGCAAGGTACTTTCTGTTAAAAATATTGATGTATAGTCCCACTCCTATGTTTTCATGTAACCTCTTGTTAAAGACAGGTGATTGTCCTTGTCCTTGGGTAATATATCACTGTTCATTTTGAATTTGAATCCTGATTTTTTTTTTTCTGTATCTTTTTTTGCCCCAATTATTTCTCCATGTGCATGACTGTGAATTTGATGCAATTGCCTAGTACAATATATAAACAGTAAATGTCATTAATTCTCTTTTAAAACAGCGACCCCCCCAATTAAGTTTTGGAGAACAGGAAAACAAAATATAATGCATATATATTTTTGTTACACTAATGAGATGTGATACCTAATGGTCTAGGCTACCCCCTGGCTTTAATATAGCATGACATTAGAAGAATTGCCTGGTACAAGTCATTTATCAATTTTTTTATTTTTGGTTTTGAATTTTTTATATCTGGTAGTAGCTTTACACTGCCTATTATTTTACCTTCCTTTTAGTCAAAGCTTTTTCTCTCTGTACCTAGCCCAATTCATACAGCTCTTGAGTTATGTTGAAGGGAATCATATTTTTATAATTTACATACTGTTTGATTTCATTACTTCATTTTGACCCTGCCCCCCCCCTCCCCCCTCACAGACACATAAAATTTATTTCACCATTATCATGCATTTCTCCTTGTAAAAACTTATGGATAATTATTCGAACCTATCAACAAAATTTGTATTTGTTAATATGGTGAAGGAGAATACCATTGAATCCTGGGGGGTGTTTCACAAAGATCCTAAGTTGAACATATCTCTAAGTTGGACTTAACAATTATGGAGAGCCGTTAGCATCCTTGAAAATATTTTGTAAAAGTTATTTTAAAAGGCATAAAATGTTGATTCAAATCATTCATATTTTCTATTATCATGGGAGATTTCATATTCTTGATGTGGAATTTATGAAAAGTCTAAAATACTTGAATGTTTGCTTTTGAATATACTTAATTATAGCGCTACAAATGGCTCTCCATAATATTTAAGTCCAACTTAGAGTTAAATTTGACTTAGAATCTTTGTGAAACAACCCCCTGGAATGAAACATTCAAAGTTTAAGTTGCCAATATGGATTATACGCTACTTTTGAACAAATAGATGCTTAGGAAGTTTAAATATTTATATTATTTCATCCTGATTTATATGGCAATGTTTTTTTCTTTTCCTCTTTTTAGTTGGTACACTAGATATCTTAGGATATGTTATACATGTTAATATACTATTTTCATTTCTTATTTTGGTTTATTTGTTATACAATAGTAGCAACTTATTGGTTCACAATATCTTGAAAAATTCCAAGTGTTTTCAAAATCAATTTGGTGTTTTGGGTTTTTTTTTTATAAAGAGAATTTTCATAATGGTTTGTTAAACTACTGCTTTTATTATTATTACTATTTAATAATGTGTATGGGATTTTATTTTGTAGGTGTTTGGGTAGGATGATAGATTTCATTCATTACAGCTAGGACCATCTGTCAAAGTGACTATGAAATTTAGATCACCTATAGTTTTAGTTATAATCTTGTGCACTTTGTCTTAGTTGTGAATGTAAGGCTGCAGTTTTGCACCCTAATCACTAGTAAATGGTGACCTTGCACAGGTAGTTTCCCTTTTATGCATATCCTTGTTACATGTACAAACCAAACACATGGATTGCACATCGTCTTGAATGAAAAACAAAAGCCAAAGATGATTTTGCTTTCCACTCACCAAAGCACTTCGTAAGTAAACAGGGCACATGCAGATTGTCTATCTTGTATTATATCAAAATGATGTTATTTGAAGTTCTTATTGATTATTAATGGATGTGACCAAAAATTGTATTACACTTTTATTGCACTAAATATTAGAGCTTTTTGAATATTTGGTTTAAATCCAGTTTGTTCTCAGCTGTTGGTTACTCTGGCATTAAATTAAACAGATGACATCGTTTGGAGAGGAAATTACCACATGGAGCTTTTTAAAGTGCGGGGCACTGATGTCCATGGAGCTTATTTATTAAAGAGCGGGGCACTGATGTCCATGGAGCTTATTTATTAAAGAGCGGGGCACTGATGTCCAAAAATTTAAAAGGGGGCACTATACACATACTGCACCAGACCCGCCTAATAGTACGACAATACATCACATGTTAGACTCTACTTTACTAGAAGAAGAATAAGGAGTAGGAGTGGGAATAATGATGAATGCTGATGAATACAATATTTATTTTTATCTTGTTGTGTTTCTTTGTTTACAGCACCAAGGCATTTCATAAGGATAGAAGATGGAACGACTATGTGAGAAGAAGGCGATGGGTCAGGTTAGAAATTGTTTTATTGACACTAAGCACTTTAATACGCCTTGCTCAGATGCGATCGGGTAATCCACTGCACAATAAATGGTGGTGTTTCTTTTTAAATGTATTAACTTAGCAACTAAGCTATGTGTTATAAGATACAGAAATGTGAACCGTATTGCATTTTACGTTGTCATTTATACAAACTGCCGCGGTTGTGCCTCATGGTCTAGTGGATATGTCATTTATCTTTGAATCACATTGTTTGTGGCTCGATTCCCGCCACAAGACATTAATCTACACTTGCCACTCTCCACCCAGGTGTAGTAAAGGGTTACCTGGTGGGAACTCATTTTCTAAATGCATAAATCTATGTTTTTTTAATTTAATTGATGACCATCTTTATACTTGCAGGAGATGTCAAATAAAGACGTCAGGTCCATGGAAACAAATGCCGAACCTTGGACTCAAAGATGTCTCCCTGCAGGTTGATACGGACGAAGAATGGGATGGACCCATTGCATTGTGGGCCATCGGAACCAACGGTGATGTCGTGACAAGGCTAGGGGTGACAAGGGCGTGTCCCGAGGTGAGAAAGGTTTTTATTTCTCAGGGAGGATTAGAAAAAATAAGGCCTATCATGTTTTAATATATATTTGTGTATGACACACTGTGCAACAAAGCATAGTGGTTCATGTATGGTGTACTGCATTAGGTCATTTTCCAAGTAATTTTGATGAATTAACATCTTTGGTTTGAGTGCCAGATTGAAATTACCATCAGTTCTGCGATTAATTAAAATACTTTGGACTCTCGCAACTACTAATACTCAAGTTTACGAAGGAAACATTGTAAATGTTTTATACATTCATAGGCATATAAAATTACAGTATTTACTTGATTACATTTGTGTCATTCAGAATATGATGCAAAAATACACAAGAATTCTTTAAAAAGAAGGCATTTTCACAATGACAAATTGCTAATTCTAATGTACTTTAGTACATGTAAATTCTAAAAACAAACGGTATTCATTCTTTAATTTTTCTTAGTTTAAGTGCCATATTTGTGGGAATTGCATTGAAAATGACATGACAAGGATTGTTGCAATTGAAGAAGAAAAACAATACTAGATGAGAGTTGAGCTTTCGTTCTTGAATTATTTCATTTTATCAGGGTACAGCATGGATGCATGTACCTACAGATCAACCATTCCAATCCATCTCGGTCGGAGGAAAGTTCAGAGTCTGGGCTGTGGCTCGGGATGGCTCAGCGTTTTATCGTAACAGAGTCAGTGATTACAATCGTACAGGTATGTAATACATCTTTATAGCATTCATAGTGCTTTGTTCTTGCTGAACATTGATACAGGTCATTTTTCCTACTACAAAGTAGATTCCAGTAATCAACAATTCCTATAGTATAATATATTGATGTGTCGTGGTGTAGTGGATATGACACCACACAGTGGATCACATGGATAGCAGATCAAGTCCCGCTGTGGCACTTATGTCCTTTGGCAAGATAGTAATCTAGATTTGCCACACTCCATCCAGGTGAAGTAAATGGGTACCTTTTGAATGCTTAAGTGCCTTATTATTGTGGCTTATATAGTTACACATGGGGTAAAAATAGATACTTTGTATTACCGTAAGTGCAGTAGAGTATATTCTTATACTGTAGCTGTAATATATAAATGGATCTATTACAATTATTATTATTATAAAGTGGGTAAACATTTCACTCAAACCCCATCCGCTATTCAACTATCCTCTTATTTAAGAAACATTTCATTTAATATAATAATATATGAAAGTAGTGCTCTTAATAATATTTGAAAAAGGTAACAGTGTCTGGGGTATCAATACATTCCTATGGACATGATCGTCGTACTCTGTACACGTGTGCCTCCATTTGAAAATTTAAATTTCATGAGTAGTATTCGATGGGCGAGCTGAATGTTTTTGGGCATGATGGTAACCCTCTTGGCGTGGATGAATCAAGCAATCAGTTTTTATGTTCACCATATGCAGGAGATACATGGTTTCATATTGCTCCACCGTCAGTCGCCCCTTTGAAACAGATTTCGGCTGGCAAGTGCTCTGTATGGGCTATTGATACACAAAGTAAGTTGAAAACACACTGCTCAAATCAATATTATGAAAAGAAAAAGATAAAATATTATTTCAATGGTCCATGCCTTGCATACCTTGCATGGTTCATATGAGCGCAAATAAATGTCAAATATTATTATTGTAGGTTATTATTATTTATAGAAAAGTAAACTTACATGTATATGATTTAAATGTTACAAACTACTGCAGAATTTGCTACAGCGTTTCATAAAGAGCAAAAAGAAAGTTGATGTGTAGAGTCATTTCATATCATTCTTAACACTTGTGCATGTAATTGTCCAAGGGTGGAAAGGGTGAATAAATGGTGTCCTAATTTTTTCCATTTTTGTTTGCCATACAGTATGTTATATGATTTGAAATGGTAAATAGAGGGAAGAAAACGGCACACTAACCTAAATCAGTTTCACATTATAACGGTCAATTACAGAAATTACAGGTGCTAGAAATCTTAACCATTATGTCTGTTTTTGCAGTGAACCTATGGTATCGTCAGGACATCACTCCGACCTTCCCAGAAGGCACCAAGTGGATCCACGTTAGTTCTAGGGTCCGTAAAGTATCCCTTGGCCCTCAAGATCAGGTATTAATCATCCGTCATTGCTTCACTTAACTCTCTATTTTCTATGCATCAGAAGATTGATAGTTGTAAACGTTATTTGTGACAAAAGTCAACTGCGGCGGTTCCCTTTGTGTAACATTGGTCAATCAATGCAGGTGAAGGATTAATTTATTTTTCTTGTTCATGCTAAAGGTAATATCATTTATTGAAGAAGAAAAAAAAGAAGAATTGTTTCAATGGTCTTTCAAAGTTTACATTAAATTTTTAACAATTTCAATTCTAGGTTTTAAATGTCAAATGGAAAAAGACCATCATGTACCATCTGAGATATAAGTAATTGCACATGTACCATAGGTTTGTGTAAAATGAGACATTGTTTAAAAAAAATTCAAATTCAAAAATTTGATCAAAAGATGTGTGAAAGAGCCGATATAAAATCACATTCATGCTTGTAAACACAGAACTTCCTCCTCCAACATGGAATTACAGCTAACCTAATTTAGCAACTGTTAGTATAGAAATACCACCTGTATTTCTATACTAACAGTATAGAAATACAGGTGGTATTTCTATACCACCTGTCACCATCACCCGTCCATTAAGGTCACCTGTCTGTAAAGACCGCCTGTCCATGAAGACCACATTTTTTGTTTCACTCAAAGTTACAGAAAAAAACCTTTACTATTAAGGGGTCTGCACAACATCCACCTGCTTATGTAGATGACATTTCTTCCTTCCCTTGATCAGTCTTTATAAACAGGTTTCACTATTTTGTTTCATAAGGTATGGGTGATAGCTGATCAGGTAGATGGGGCCCGTGGCGTTGTATGTCGACGAGACGGGATTGCATCGGCTAAACCCATGGGTAAAGCATGGGATAAAGGAGCAGGGGTAAGTCATATTTCATTTCATACATTCGTTCACTTACTGTCTCATTCATTCATTCATTCACTCCCGCACACTCTCAGTCAATCAATCACTCCCTCCCTCACCCACCCACTCACCCACTCACCCACTACCTCCCTCCCTAACTCACCCCCTCCTTCCCTCACCAACTCATTCACTCAGTTTACTGAGCCACTCCGTCCCTCTTCGCTCACTCACCCACCAACTCACTCACTCCCTCCTTCACTCACCCACTCACTAACTATCTTGCTTCCTTACTCACTAACTTACCCACCGACTCACTCCCTCCCTCCCTCACCCACCCACCCACTCCCTCACTCATTCAGTCACTTCCTCCCTTACCCACCCACTCACTCCCTCGCTCAACCCCTCACACACTCACCCCCTCCACTCAACCGCTCACTCCCTCAATTACCTCCATACTCACTACCTCCCTCCCTCCCTCACCCACTCCCTCCCTCCCTTCCCCACCCACTCACTCCCTCCCACAACCACCCACTCACTCACTCCCTCACCCATCCACCCACTTATACTCACCCACTCACTCCCTCACCCACTCATTTACCCACTCACTCCCTCCCTCACCTACTCACTCACTCCCTCCTTCACTCACCCACTCACTCACCCACTTGCTTCCTTACTCATTTACTCCCTCCCTTACCCACCCACTCCCTCCCTCCCTTCCTCACCCACCCACTCAGCCACATACTCATTTAGTCACTCACTCACTCACCCAGTACCCACTCACTCACTCCCACCTTCCCACACTCACTCGCCCAGACACCCTCGCACACACCCTCTCATCTACCCATGCATTCACTCAGTCATGCCCTCACTCACTGACCCACTTACTCACTTCCTCACCCACTCCTCACTCACACATTCCCTTTTCACTCACTCTCCCTACTCAACTCACTCCCAAAACACAACAATGACCATTGTACATGCCAGCTGAAATTCAAGACAAATTCCAGACCACCTCTTTTAACCCAGAGTCATGAATTATTAATGATACTGCATTGCAAAACGTTGGCAGGTGCAATATTTAATGGTATTCTCCTTTTCATCCTCTTTTTCTCTTGCCCTACCCCCTCTCCCGATCTCTCCCCCTCTCTATCTCCTTTCCCTCTCTCCATCTCCTTCTCTCTTCCCTCTCTAACTTTTTTTCATCCTCCTCTTTCTCCCCTCTCCTTGTAACCCTCCACTCCCCCTCTCTCTCTCTTACAGGGAGGTATCATGCATCTGTGTATACGAGGCTGCACCAAGGAACTAGAGAGGGCCCCGTCGGTAGAAGATATTGCCATGGCAACCATTCAAGGAAGTGCACTGGACACGAAGAAGAAGGAGGACCCTGTGAGGCCATACACCAGCTCTGATGGAAACGCTCTCTGTTAACCATGATTATCTCTGAAACATGTGATTAAAATTTAAGTCTGTCAGTTCAAAGAAGGAACCATATTGGTTGATCCATAAAATGCAGTCATTTGGATCACCAATCACAACCTTTGGTTCTCTTACACATGATAACATGTCGATTTATTGAAATCTGAGTGACTATCCAGTGAGTGCAGGCAATTGCACCCCTCTAAAAATCAACCAGGTCTAAGCACGGTATCCAGCGTAGTCTATCAGATTGTTTCTTATTGGTTAATCAATGGCACTCCTCCTAGGATCATCCAATCACAACATTTCTTTCTGCCGTAACCTGTCAGTAGACTGTTCCTGATTGGTTTATCAGTAAGATACAGTCAGTTGTACTCTTAGAATGAACCAATCATATGCAAAGTTCGTCTTTAATCTGTCTGATAGATTCTGATTGGATGATCAGTAAGGTGCAATCCGTTGCAATCTTCCTAGAAGCAACAAACCACAGTCAAGCATCAATAAAATTTGATCAGAATTTTTCATGATGCGACTACCAGAAAACTGTGACATGACTAGAAATAAAGTTACATGAATCCAGTGGTATATTGAAAAGGTCTAGTATTAGGAACCTACCACCAGATGAAAAAAAATGGCTTTTAACGAATGAATTTTTAATTTAAATTCCATATATATTCATTTTCTAGACTCGATAAATATTTTTACGTAATTCAAAATTAATTTGACCATCATATCTGTTGATTTGAGAATATCTCCCTCTGTGACATTATGAAAATAGCGCTACATTTTCATTTCTTATAAAGAAGTTTCAGAACCTATGACTGTTAAATTTTACCTACGATAACTGAAAGATATATTTTTAACACTTGCCAAGTTTCACTGACTTTGCAAAAAGTCTGCATAAGGGCTTTCCTGCCGTTAATGTAAACAAAAAAAAGAGTATACTTTTTTCATCATGAACAACATTATGGTCACAAAATGTACCTTTTAAAATGAATTTGAATGTGTTATCAGTTATGAAAAATTACCTGTAGTAAGCACAAGTACATGTACATGTCCCAGTTTTCTACACAGGACGGTCACAGTAATAAATATTGTAGAAAGTAAATTATTAAGAAACATACCTGAACCATTACGGTGATATCTATGTTATATAGATAATATAATATTATCTAAAACAATAAATTAAACTATGCAAGACAATCGTAAAATTAATCTGAGAGAAATAGATATGAATAAATGATTAAATGTGAATGAAATTTACACGGGAGGAATATAGATATGATTTAATGATACTGATTTTATTGTTTGTTTTACAGCCAAGGAAGAAAAGAGTAACTATCAACCAAAGACAACCAACTGCTTGCCAATTGTTTTTAGTTCAAGAAAATGCTTATAATGATACTGATTTTTATTGTGACTAGTAGAAAATAGGACCATGTCATTTCAATGTCATGTTGCATATTACTTGGGCTACATAGTATGCATCAAGAAGTGCAGGTGTAGTTGTAAGTTTTTTTGAAATTTGCAACACATTTTATTACCTCTAATCTTTTTAAATACTTTTATAATATAGAAGTACAGTGCATATCATTATAATGACTTCTGTTTTGTTATATTTTTTATGAAAGGGAGTTTCATTTGATAATAATAATAATAATAATACATATGATTTATAAGGCGCCAAATCCACTTGACAGTCAAATGCTCAAGGCGCAGCTTGTGCAAAAGATGAAATACATACATGATACATTTATACAAAGTGCAATAGGAAAGGTACAGACATGAAAGGTAATGGTAATCAATTATAAGCTAAATTAAACAGATATTTCTTAAGATTGTTTTTTAACACCTCAGCAGAACTGCTATTCTTAACCCATTGAGGGAGAGTATTCCATAATACACTTTGAGAGGGAATTTTTAAAATAACACTACTCATTTGACTTTGCACTTCAATTGTAGGATATATTTTGTCAACACTCCTGCAGAAGTTAAAATATATAGTTATTGAAGAAAAATCTATAGAGTCGTTAATAAATTTCTATGTCTACTTATTTTAGTCTAAATGAAAGTTCACAATTTTTTATTTTTTTTAATATAAATTCAGAAGAAACAAAACAAAAGATGTTGAATTTACGCATTGTGTTTTGCCTTTTAAGCATGTTAAACCCCTGCTGCAGTAATATCATGATGAATACTTGACTAAAATAATTGACAAAAATTTAAACTTCAGTATACTTAAATGAAGCAAATATATATATATATATATCTATATATATAGATTTTAGTTAACTAAAATTCTACTTCATTGGTGCTACTTTTTGATGTCACGTTGTCTTCCATCACTTTGAAAACAATCAAAAGTTTGTGAGTTATTTTCTATACCAGAAAATATGAAAAGATTCCCACTTTCCTTGTATTCATACACCAAACATAATTTATATTATGTCTCACTGTATTTTAGTTTTGAGTTTGTAGAAATTACAGAAATGTCTATACACATGTTCTATCTTTTATTATTATTTGTACAAATGTATACATGTAGAGTATAACCTGTCTTGGTGGCCACTTCTCTATAGTGGCCAGTATTCTTGTTTGCATTGGGTGGCCTTTAAAGACAGGTTTGACTGTACTTATGTACAGTTTCATTAGTTTTGACTAGTGTACTTGTACATTGTATGTGTACATGTAGTTCTGTAATTTTTGTTCGATAGAACTTGTTTTCTTTTTAAGGTTCTAATATTGAAGCTGATTGACTTTGTCCTTTAAAATGTACGAAGGTACAAGTCATAGAAAGTACTTTAGTGCAGTGTACAGTTTCAATACGAAACAAATTTAGTTTTGAGATGCTCATGCGGAAACGATAAAAGAAGGATGTAAAGAAAGATTTGTAAAATACAAGTGCATATAATTATTTTGAAAATAAGGTAAATGCTAGAAATTACATGTTTATTGACACATGTAAATTAAAGTGCAATATTTTCATGCTGGGTCTTTATAAATTATGTACATGAAACTTTAACAGTATCATATTTTTATGTTGAATAGTAGATTGTATTACATAAAATGATGACATCAGCTGATGAAATACTTATAAGATTAGATATCTGCCACTTTAAAGAGTTGATTTATATTCCAACCAATAAAAAAGTGCAATAATAATTGTTATTTCATGCGTAGCCCTTAGTTTTTGAATTAAATGTGTCCCATATTTCTATAGTGATTGTTCATCTCAGTTACTGTATATTCAATGATTATTGTTATGTATACTAGTTTTTATGTACTTTGGATTATTCCAGTAAAATTTGGATTATGCTTTCGTGATTTGCAATCAGTGCGATTTTCAGTTGTAGTAGTGTGTTGGTTCTCGGTTATTCAAGTAGGACTAATTTTTCATTAACTCTTTTCGAGAAAAAAATTGTGACAATGTTGTTTACTCTTTATAGATAAATTTCATCTCTTTTCAGAAATCTATTGATTAATCTCTGTGACTCTTTTATAGATCAAACAATAAAGTTCTGAGAGGAAGTATCAAAAATTGATTAAGAATAAACCATATTGTCCCAATCATGTCTTGAAAAAGGGTAAACCTACAAAGAACAATTATTCCTACTTCATGGGAAACAGTCTGTGTATATTTACAACTAATTTATATACAGGTATGCTACTTAATTTCACATGCCATTGTCTTAAGTATTCCTTTTCTGTCTCTGTTGCTTTCTTTTTGGCACTTTCTCTGAAATTGTCGCTGTGTACGACGGTCTTGAAATTTGGTTCATTGTGTGGTAGTTTTTTAGTCTTTTATTTATATGTACACATGTAAAAAAATATATTTACCCTAAGTACAAGTACAGTGTGGAAGTAGGCAAATTGTAGTTAAATTTCTCCAACTTTAATAAGTTGATAAACAGTAGAACTTTTGTAAGTGAGGCCCTTTAGGAGAAAATAATGGATGACAGGGATCTTTGTTGGCTTTCAATTGATTTGCTATACCATTATTCAGGTGGAATTCAAAATATTCTGTATGTTTTATTTTTCATTTTTAACCTCTTTTAAAAGAAGAGTGATTTTATGTTTACAGTCATCGTTTGTTGTTTTTATTTCTGTAAAATAAAATTAAACAAAATACATACAAAGTAATCAATATGATCATACAGAGAAAAAAGGAAATAAATACAGTTGGTAGCCCATTTTCAGCTGCAACTATATTGTTGCCGCTGGTCTTCCACGGGGCCATTTTAGTGTTTTCTGTTTCATCAATGTCGTGTTTATTGAATGTCTATTTTTCTTTATTGTATTATAAAAATTATCATTATTTATAACATACTCTTAAAAGTCACTAAAACCATGTACATGTACACAATTGTGATAGGCGCACCTGTCTTTCTTTCAAAAGTCAAGTGACTCGAAAGGAATTTAAAATATCCCGCTCAAATTAAGATATCCTCATCTTGTCAAAAAAGATATTTTTTGTAATGATTTTTAATGTTGATTTTAAAAGCTAGAGTTACGGAAAATCAATAATCTGAACCTGTTCTTCTCTGTAATCTAGATATTCCCTCAATTTAAGATATCCTCATCCTTTCGAAAAATGATTATAATTTTAATAATTTTTAATATAGATTTAAAAGCTAGAGTTACGGAAGTCAAGATTGTGAAACTGTCGTTCTCTGTTATAATCTGTATTAATGTCAACACCTCGCCTACGCGTAACGAGGTGCTTGACTCGTATACTTGAGTCAAATGTAATTTTCTGGAAAATATATCATGTTTTGTTTTGTACTGATTATTCAACTCTATGCATGACAGGAAGTGATTCTAACTTGCCTATAATTATGAAAATAATAAAAGTAGAACTCTGAAAAAATGAGCAGAAAAGTCCAGCGTGTGATGTATTTCCATTATCTTCTTTTAATGTGTTCTTTGTACAAAAAATACACCAGTTAAATACTTGCATTTCAGAAGTGTAATACATTTACGAATTAAGATTTCTCAACAAATTCATACGACTTTTATAACTTCAAATTCCTAAACATTAGTTGCGCAGCTTAATTCATACTATCCAATTTAATTTAAAAAAAACTTTTATTGCATCGTACTTTTACTACAAATACAAAACATATTGATACAAACAAATCCTAATACACCTAACATTTCTTGTGGATAATGATAATGCAAAAAATGTAAATATCTTGTTTATCCAGGGTAGCCTCATCAGTATGAGGGGGGGGGGGGGGGGGGGAGTGAGCAATTTTTTTTTGTTGGTCCTCGAAAAATTTTCAATTTGCACCCCCCCGGCGCTTTTTACATGATTTTTTTCTCAAGGGGGGGGGGGGGGCCGGGCCCCCGGGCCCCCCTAGATCCGCCACTGTAATATACTATGCATATTTATTAATTAAGTGGAAACTGTTTACTTGAGATATTTGTTGGTTATACTAATTCAAAAATTCTTGTAGATGTAAATGTATTCATAAATGTACATGAACAATCGTTTATGTATGCAAACTGATAGGTAAAGAGGCTAACATATCCATGTGTGTACGTAAAGGGGGGGGGGGGGGTCGAACCCCCTCTTTTTGTGTGTGTGTACGTGTATTTTGGAGGAACCCCCCCTCAATTTAGTTTTTTAATTACAAAAATAATTAAAAAATAATTAAACAAAATTGTGCTTATGAGATCCCAAAAAGGTGACCCCCAATGGAACGAAATATAGATCGACAAATTTTAAAAAATTGGGGGAAAAAAGTGCTCTTACCCCCCCCCCCCCCCGCTTATTCAGCGGTTGGCTGAGTCGTTGCGAAATTTTTGGCACGATTTTCACATTTTAAACCCCCTCCCTTCGAAAAAAAGTCCTGCGTATGCGCCTGACCATATTTATGTACCTATATGAAATTAAGGCGCCAAGGACCACATAATTAGATGTCATCATAAAAGCATATATCAATGAGGAAGACCAAATTCATTCAAACTACTCTCGTGTGTCACTAGCAATGTCCATTTTGTGTAATTACTATTACCAAGTTTCTTCTTGACTTTTATACCTATATCATGAGCCAAAATATATATACGTACACGTAGTTGCTATCAAAACCATATAAATGTACGTAACCAAATTGAATTAAATTCATTAACTCGATGGAAAAAGTATATACCTAAATTCCTATGGTTGAGCAATTTTGCAATATTCGAAAAACTATGATTTGCATTAAAATTCTTGTATTTTATTAAATCTATCATGCACCATCACTGCTATTCTCGTTTGTAAAATGTAAGAAAATGGTAAATTTAAACTTTTGTACTACTCAGTAAATATCAATACGATGTCTATGACATTCTCCATATAAATTATAAATAATTTTGAGCTAAGACAACCGATACATCAACATTTATTTTTGTTCATATTTGTAAGAATGAATGAGTTTCTTTTCAAAAGTGGGGAAAAATTCCATAAGGCAGATATAAATGAAAAAGACTTTCAAGGTAAACAAACTAGCAGAAAATTATGTTGTAGAGAAAGTGCTCTTTCATCATTGTACTCATTAGCAAAAGGAATTTTTACATACAATTTTATTTGTTAAGAATCATAATTTATGTACACTTAATTTTAATCTTGATATTCACCTGTACAAATATATTGTTA